CGTGTTTGGGGGTCAGATATGTTATGGCAGAGTATTAATCATGTTAAAGTCACTCGACTATCATTGCATTACTTCTTTCAATTTGTGTGATTCCCCATGCACGTAGAAATATATATTGTTGTTTATCTACTATAACTTAAGAGTTGAGGGAAGCTGTAGAACACACACAGTTTCACAGCAGTCCTGCAGACAAACATTCAGTAGCCATGCATGTTCAATCGTCCTAGACAGCCCTTGCATGTTGGACTCATGTATCTCAGCAATATAACGATACTGCATCATCAAGATTAAAAAGATTTGCGGGCCTTATATGGTAAAGTTTGGAAAAAAAGACAACTCCGGTAGAAGTGTCTTAAAAAGGACACACAATAGGGTGATCACATGTACTCATTCATCATTATCATCATCATCAGCATCATTATTATCATCAACATTTTACTGTTGTAGCTAATGGGGACTCGGTTTTTGGCTGCCCCTTTTATCTGAGCCCAGCGGTCTTTGCCTCTTCCTCTACCGTTCTTCTCCATGATCTCTTTGGCCGACCCACTTTCCTTTTTCCCTGGGGGTTCCAATCCATTGCATTTTTTGTAAGATTTCATTCTTCCCTTCTTAGCATGCGACCAATTAATCCCCATTTACGGGCCTTGATTATGAATAGCGAGGGTACAGTAGAACTATTTCCCCGCGCAAAATTATGAATAGCGAGAGTACAGTAAGCCTTTTTTCCCCGCGCAAGATGGAAGTTGTATAGAGGAAAAGAAAACTCCTAATGCCTAGATAAGTTTTCTTAACTCTTTGATTGAAACATGTTTTTAAAGTTTGTCTTTAGCACACTGCTGACTGAAATACATGCAACCTTCTACTTCTTCGTTCTTAATTGTAATGTTGTCCGGGACTACCTCCAACACAATTAAGTATCGTGTGTCAACTTGTTATGCGCCATATTGGCCATTGACTCCGATTTCAGCCTGCATTTTTTAAATGAATTTGCTGGTATTCATTTTGCCCACCGAAGAACAAACTACAAGGCATAAGTTGTTTGAATTTGGAGTTGTCTTCCCTAGATGGTGGTTATATCAATCTGTAAAAAGGCGCTATGGTTAATGTGGCTAACGGAAGTAATGTTATAAGTATAGATGTGAGATATTGAAGTTACAAGCAAGGCAGGTAAATCTGATTAAACTGGGAACTGTGTTTCGTTACAAGATATGTAAGTCAAAATGAGATTATTAGAGTCTGGATTAGACACGTAGCGACACCTTTAGTCGCCCGTAGCAATGTGTCGATTTTAGTCAGTAAAGCCTGTGTGTGTGGTATTTTTACCTTGCAGTTTCTCAAATTCAGTTATGTAGCTCAAAATTATGGCTTTTTATTATATTGCCGTTTACTCCCACCCCCTCACCCACCCTTTAGGATTTTCACATAGGGCACTGGGGCGGCCGCACCCATTGCTACACATTACCTTTAACACTGGTCTAAATGAAAGATACGAATTATTCGATGCGTGATGGCCCCCATAATTACCATTTATTAAAAAAACTCAGACAACGGTGAAAAATCAATTAGACTAGAGATTATCACCTACATCACCTACTGGTGTGCGGTGATATGCTCGGTTTGTCACCAACGCCACCTTCTGGTGTGCGGAGATATGCCAGGACCACCACCTGTGCAGGTTGCACCATACACGTTTTAAAAACATGAACCTGGTGTTAAGTGTTGGGGTGAGGGTGGGGTGGGGTGATGATGCGGGGGGGGGGGGTTGTGGTATGCTCAGTTTATAGCCATCTGTAAAATAGCTGACGTAGAATAGCATACATCTGACTCACCTAGAAAAATGTTGATGTGGTTACATGGCAGATATGTTGTAGGGTTAAGACTCAATTCTGTGGGACGGAGTGGCTTAGTGGTAGAGCTGGACTCCGAACCCGCAAGTTCGAATCCGAAGTCACAATACTCTCTGTATTTTACACTCCCCGCTGCCCAACTCGCGTCAGACTCCCACTCACAAAATGACGTATGGTTTTTAAATGATCCGATCAGCAAATGGTCTACTAAATACAAGACTAGCTGGTAAACAAAAATATGCTGTAAATGGTAATAGCCGTTTGCCGGTGTTTCGCCACGGTAAATCTTTTTTCAATTTACCAACTTGGGAACAGAACAAAACTAAACACAAACACAAAACAAAAACACTAACGCAAACACAAACTCAAAAAACACAAACACAAACGAACACAAGCACAAAAGAAAACACAAACGCAACGCAAACAAACACAATGCAAACACAAACGAAAAACACAAACGCAACACACAAACACAAAAGAAATAACAAACGCATATATAAAAAAACAAATGAAAACACAAACACAATGCAAGCATAAATGCGCGCGCAAAAAAAACAGAAACGAAAACACAAACACAACACTCATAACATAAACACAACTTAAATGCAAACATAAGCGCATAGTGCTCACAGTCTAGCCAGTGGCGCCAAATCGCACCCTGTCCGAGCGCCGGCAGACACGCCTGATCAATTTAGTGAAAGACTATAAAAAAACCCAGCTTGTTAAAAAAACCGAAAGATAGAAATAATAATTAGTAAACAGTACTTTCAGTGTATAAAATAAAAAGGCAGTATTTAAATATCCGTGTTTTACCTACCATATTGCACTTTATCAACCCATGCATTCACATAACGTGTTTTTTTTTCCATTACTTTAAATTTTTAAAAATTTACAATAAAGTTGCATGACTAAACCCATTGCGCACCAATTGATCGTGATGACGCGTGTATAATAGTGTAGAATAAATGATTTAAAATTATAATTAATAAACAGTACGTTCAGTGAATAAAATAAATAAAAGTTTGCCTTTTATCAATCCTTACTAATTATAATATTCAAACAATAATGTCCTCTTACACTTCTGCAGAATTTGTGTTCACATTTTGCTAATTATATTATTTCAACAATAGTTCCCTCTTGGAGATTTTGCATCTACATTTTATTAGCGTCAGTTGAATTTATTTTTAAACTACCTACCTTAGCAAAATTACAAAATAGATTCATTAATTAGTTTTTTCGACCCTACTGTTACTAAAATGATTCCATTTTTTCTAGGAATCTAAACGAAAATGATATTTGACATTGATCCGTTAGTATGTTTTAGCAATATGCGTGTATTTAATATTTTCTGTAAGGTAAGAATATTTTCTTCACGTTATGCGAAAGAGTAAAAAACAGTGGAAACTATAAAAAAAATCAAGTCATTATATAAACAAACCCTACTCTATGACTTATAATAAGATACTGCGATACAAGTAAAAGCACGAAATGTGATTTGTTTACTTGTATGGTAAACTATAGTAAAATCTATAGTGATGACTGACGGACTGACACACTACCAGCAGTATATATATATATATATATATATATATATATATATATATATATATATATATATATATATATATATATATATATATATATATATATATATATATATATATACATATATATATATATACTAATACTAAAACTCAAGTTTGTTTACAAATTTGTATATTTAATTTTTATTTTTTTTGTTTGTCTGTTTGGTTACAGGAGAGAATCTGCACTACGTGCAGAACTGTAAAATATGTATTTAGGTAGAGATTAATGTTCTTTCTTATCAAACTGTTAATCACAAATGTATTTAAAGACGTTAATTAATATTGATATATTCATTAGTAGATACACCACTTTAATTATACAAGTTCAGAACAACGACTTTACTTATAGTGACGTCACATGATTTATTAACTTTTCTAACAATAATAGCGGCTTTCGTCGAAGATTTTTTTTGCCCTTTCAAAAATTTTAACCCCTAAACCTTTGCACCTAAGATCAAACCTGAAAAACTTGGCCTTTAAAGTTTATTTCACCACCCACCCCGAAGCAAGTCGAAGTCAACGAAATACAATGTATATAGAAAATTTATACTTTTACCAGGGTCCGACCCCTCACAGAAAATATAGTCCATCCCCATCCCCGAACTTTTCAAGTACTCTACCGGCTTTAGAAAATTTCCTACGTCACGTTGCATTTTTTGTACTACTATGAATGTTTTTACTCTGCTTGTGTTTTCTCTACAGTAAAAGCGTTCCCAACAGATAGATACATACACAGAGAGCGAATCTATTATTATAGATTTTCAACAGTTATTTTAATTTGAGTATACAATAAATTTCTCTAGATCTAGAGATCAGATAACGGATGAAAAGGAAAGTAAATCCTTGAACTAAAATCTAGAATTTAGGTTAAACCAAATTCAAATAGTTAAAAATAAAACTAATTTCAGTTATAGGAATTCACTGAAAAGTTGATACAGAACTACAATAGTGATATAATACTTATATATAAAATTTCATAAACCTAGTTGTAACGGTACTCAAGTTATCTTGTTTACAGACACACACACACACACACAGAGAAAGAGAGAGAGAGAGTGAGAGACATACGGACAGAATTTCAAAGCCCAGTTTTTCAGACTCGATTACGCATAAAACGCCAAAATGTTGATACATCTGGATTTATAATTTTTACCCGATTAAAATAAGTCCTCTATACTCCGGATTCGATGAAAACTGTGGTGTAATACGGTGAAAACTCAAAATTTCAAGTGATATTTTTGTGCACAATTACAATACTTTCTCTAAACTTTTTTTTGTTTCAGCCACAAATCTGGAACTGTATTTTTCTTCTTCACCAAGAGATCTGGTATCGTTAGACATTAAAAAATCTGGCTCTATTTGGAATCATTATTGTCAGACATGAATTTGGAACTATTTTTTTCTTCTTGACCTCGAGATCTGGTATCGTTAGACTTAAGAAAAACCTGGAACTATTTTTTCTTCTTGACCTCGAGATCTGGTATCGTTAGACTTAAGAAAAATCTGGAACTATTTTTTCTTCTTGACCTCAAGATCTGGTATCGTTAGACTTAAGAACAATCTGGAACTATTTTTTCTTCTTGACCTCGAGATCTGGTATCGAAAGACTTAGAAAAAACGCCAGTGCGGCGGCCACAGAGCCCGTCAGAAACACGTTGGTCCAGCCGATGCTAACGATAAGGAGAGGGACGATAACAGGATCGATGAAGAAGACGACCCACTGTGACGCAGACATAAAACCGACGTTGGACGCGAAATGTTTTTGTCCAAAGAGCGCCATAGGGGTCATGTAGTAGAAGACCCTTACCGACGAAATGGCGTAGAACTCCAAAGCCACGAAGACGATGTACAACTGTGGGAAAGTGTAGAGTGATATGGGCATCATGGTCATGAAAAAGTTGGAGCAAGCGCAGGTGGTGACCAGGACAGGCTTAAGGCCGTATTTGTCGGACATGAAGCCGACCAGAGGACGGAACACCATCAGGACGAAGGTGCTGATGGTGCCCGTCATGACGAGGGTGTTGTCGTTGTTGATGACGGTCAGACCGAACTGTTTGTAGAGGTTGAGGTGGATGAAGAAGGTGTGTCCCATCAGCGCGAAGATTGTCCAGACTTTCCAAAAGGTCAAAGTGCACAGCATCTCGCGAGGTGTCAAATCTTTCACGATATTCTCAGAATTTTCTTTGTATTTCTTGTCACGTACATTTTCTTCATCTATATCCAACATCTTTTCTTGTATTGCCTGGATATCTGTCACGCTACCCTTTGTGATTTCCCTTGTAGTTTGAGACATTAGCTTATCGTGATCGTTCTTTTCAATGTCTTCACTAAATACTGTTTCATTGTTATAACGTTTATTATCCTTTCTCTTAGAAATTTCACCTGCAACATTATCGTAATCGTCGCTCTCCCCATCTTCTGGTTTCGAACCCACAAGTAACTCCTCCGTCTGCCCATCGTCAGGCGGGTTTAACTCTTTCGGCCTACACTGTATCAGGATAAACCCTACCAGCTGTAGAGCGAATGTGAAAAGTCCTATTTTTAGAAAAAATTGGGGAACTCTTTCAATGACTCCCGGATCAGTGAAATACCGGATGTTGTTGATTTCAATGTCCGTAGCGATGTTGGATGGGTTGATAAGGTAGTACGAAAGGAGCATATGGAGGAGAGAAAAGGTGCCTGGACCTGTTGATAATATCCCAATTGCGAATCCACTTTTTCCAGGAAATGTCTGAGCCGCCATCTTGTAAGGCAGAGCCTGGAGAATCCCACCAGCCACGCCTTGTGCTGTCCCGAAACACAAAAGTAGTGCCAGAGGTTCCTGCACCGCCCAGTAGCTGAGGATCACAGACGTACTTTGTATCACGGCCCCAACCAAGATCCCCGTCTTCAAAGACGACTTGGTCTCAATGAACCCACCCAGGATCATCCCGATTGGTTGAAATATTTTAAAGGCGGAGGAAAGCCACAGCGGATCCACCCACATATGAACACGTGACATGTGGGCGTGGTAATAGGACGCCAGGTAGGTGAGGAAGTTACCGAAGTAGACCGAGACAGAGACCGGCATCAGCAGCATGATACAGCCCATCAGCACCAGGTACTTCCTCAAGAGGATGGAGACACTTCCATAGCGACAGTCCATTCTCCAGCCAGCTGGGGACAAAAAGGTTACACATAGTTAATTTAAGTGGGAATTTTCTTATATAAGATAGGAACAGAACAAAATTAAACACAAACGCAAACACAACGCAAACACAAACACAAAAGAAAACACAAACACAACACAAAAGAAAAGAAAACACAAACGCAAACACAAAAACAATGCTAACAGAAACTCAATGCAAACGCAAAAAAAAAACACAAACGAAAATACAAACACAAACGCAACATGTAAACACAAACACAAAAGAAAAACAAACGCAACCATAAACACAAAAGAAAACACAAACACAATGCAAACGCAAATACAAATGCAAACACAAAAAAAAAACGAAAACGCTAATGCAAACGCATAACATAAATACAACTTAAATATCAATCTATGTTAATTATAATATTCCAACAAAAATGCCCTCCTACATGTCCGCAGAATTCACATTCACATTTCTTTTATTAGCGTGAGTTGAATTTCTTTTTAAATTACCTCCCCTGTGAGAATTATTAAATATTTTTATTAAGTAGTTTTATCGACCCTACTGTTATTAAAATGTATCCTATATTTCTTGGAATATAAGCGATAATATTTTTTGACATTGATCCGTTTAATATGTTTTAGCAATGTGCGGTTAATTTAAATTTTCTTTACGTTATGCGAAAGAGTAAGAACTGTGGTAACTATAAATTAAATTTTAGTGGTTATATAAACAAACCCTACTTTATTACTTATAATACGATAATGCGATGCAAGTAAAAAGCATTTCATGGTACGATATTTTATTTTATGGTTCCAAAATCTATAGCGAATCTGTATTGAATACCTTTACTAATATTTAGAAAGAGACCCACGCTTTTCTTTATAGTTATTTAAATAGTAGTGTATATAATTTATTTTCTTCTTTTTGGTGCATTATTACATAAAAGCTTGTTATTAAAACGTTTTTTATGAAAAAAATTTTAGTACTTTACATGTTTTATTTACACTTGAGTTGCATGACTAAAAACTATTGCGCACCTATTAAACGTGATGACGCCCAATTGAACGTGATGACGCGTGTATAATAGCGCGGAATAGTTTGATGAGACGGCCCACTAACTAATTTGGACAAAATTTTAATTAACTCATAAAAAATTAATTAGGCAACCATTTAAGTCAAATTGCATGTCATGTCGCATTTTCTTCATGTCTTGACCCACGTACCAACTACAAACCGTATCTGTCAGTTAGAAGTGCCTGCAATTTCGCTCGGGCGTTTCGATCTAGACAGACAGACTGACGACAGACTGACGACTGACGACAGACAGAGCAAGTGAGTTAAGTAAAAGCTTGTAAAAATGGATTAAAAATCATGTCTATATCCCGAGTTGCCATCCCCTGTTGTTTTAGATAAGAATATTCGAGAAAGTTTAGGGGAGATCACTCCCGGTTTATTTTTTCTGTCAATCACAAAAATTCGACCCATTTTATAGTTTTCTGATAATTCTGCTTTATAGTTTGTTTGTTGTTGTTTTTTTTTTTTTTTTTTTCTCATCCCTGGTCTTGAATGCTGCACTTGTTTTCCTAAGTTTTCTTTTGGTTGTTTTCCCCTTCATGTTCATCACTTTCAGCATGACTTATGTAGACATTAAGAACCAAGAAGAAGAACAAAAACACTTCTATTGTAAAGCATGTAAAGCTTACTTGTAGATAGAACATCAGATTTATCTTTTGTCACTCTTGGTTAGTGTCATGATTTCAGTTTTCTTTATATTGATTTTATGACTTCAGTTTTCTTCGTATTGGGATTTTGTGTGTTTTGATCTGTTTTTTCCACGAATTGTTTTGTTTATTTTTTAAAGGTCGCTCGTACCTCCTCTGTTGGTACCATCTTGAGCTCGATTAGTGAGGGTTTGTTTACAGCTTTTGACATTTAAAAAAAAAGAGCTCAGACGTCTTTGTATGTTTATCTTAATGTTTCAGTGATTTTTTTTAAATCCGTATTTCTATTCTTTTTTCTCCTCCAACAAATCCATTTTGTTTTCCTATTTCTATTTATTGTAAAAAAAAAAAAAAAAAACAACTAAAACTGTATCAGCGTTTTTGCAGAACAGTGTGTTATTTTTTCCTATTCTGTGTTGATAGTGTTGCTGTAATATTACCTGAGTCTTTTTTTTCTGCCAATTTTATTTCTTACTTAAATCTAACATTTAAGCAATTACCAAAAATATTCTTAATTTTGTGGACGTTCACTTTTCCGAAATAACTTTTGTTTTGATGATGCTATTTATTTTCTTTACTTGAGTTTCATCTCAGCTGAAACTAATAAGTTGGCACTTCATACATCGGCTTCTCTTTTTACTTTTACATCACGAAAATACTTTCTCCACATTAAGAATATTTTTTTGAAAACATATCTTATCCTACCAAGAAGTTATTGTACATACAACTTTCTTTTATCAATTATTTATTTTCATTCATCTTTCCACATCCGTAAAAAATACTTGGTCATAATTAGAACTCATTTCAGTGAAACCTTTATACAATGAGTTAAAAACACAAGACCCCACAAAATGACAAATCACCACATGTAAGAAATAAAAACTCACCCATCCAGTTTCTCCAAGATGTTCGACACAAAACTATAGATGAGATCTACCACAACCAACTGTTTACAAGTGATACAACGACTAAACTGTGGACCGGATTTACACCAAGCAGTTTGAACTTGCGAAACCTACGCAAACAGTTAGGCTGATATTCAGGTTAGTCGAGTAGTTAGGGGGCCGTTGGCTCCAATTATTTACACCCCCCCCCCCCCCATTTTCTAATCCACTAAATATAGAGACGAAAGTACCAGATCTTCAAAAGATAGCCTTGATGACGCCGCACTTGTACACGTAACCAGCCGTGACCGCGTCAGAAACCGGTGATCTTACCTAAGGTTTGGTTAGCTACAGGTAAAGTCAGAAACCGGTGATCTTACCTAAGGTTTGGTTAGCTACAGGTAAAGTCAGAAACCGGTGATCTTACCTAAGGTTTGGTTAGCTACAGGTAAAGTCAGAAACCGGTGATCTTACCTAAGGTTTGGTTAGCTACAGGTAAAGTCAGAAACCTGTAATCTTACCTAAGGTTTGGTTAGCTACAGGTAAAGTCAGAAACTGGTGATCTTACTTAAGGTTTGGTTAGCTACAGGTAAAGTCAGAAACCGGTGATGTTACCTAAGGTTTGATTAGCTACAGGTAAAGTCAGAAACCGGTAATGTTACCTAAGGTTTGGTTAGCTACAGGTAAAGTCAGAAACCGGTGATCTTACCTAAGGTTTGGTTAGCTACAGGTAAAGTCAGAAACCGGTGATGTTACCCAAGGTTCGGTTAGCTACAGGTGAAGTCAGAAACCGGTGATCTTCACCTAAGGTTTGGTTAGTCCCAGGTAAAAGACAGCATCTCTTGCTCGACTTTATGGGTGAATGCACACAGTTAGAGAAACGGGTAAGAATATTGTCACGTAATAGTGCACCAATGTTCGGGCCGTGGGAGGAGAAATGTTATGGCTTATTTTATACGTGTTCATTGGGGTGGAATAATATACTTCATGAATTATATACATTGGTAAAATAACTATAAAGTTTCTATAGTAAGTTAGTCGCTAAAATGTGTAAGAGATTTCATGAGCGATACCAGTTATATAATGTAACTAAAGAAAAAGCTAATTATTATAAAGATTGTGTAGATGTTTTATTGTTTTTATTGCTTCTTGATGATCTTTCATATTTTGTAATGACAATGCTAGATTAACTTAATTAAGTAAGACAAGTAATGACGTATTAAAATATACTTTTATCTCATTGTATTTTTATATTATTCATGCATAGCCTACATATGTGTAGTTCAAAGATCGGAAACCATTTTATTTTTAAAGAAAAGACCTAGGTGACTTATATCTTCTGTTAATAGAGATTTATGGAGCTGCGCTATATATTTAACTTTTAAGGAAGTATTAGAATCTATCTATCTATCGATATATCTATATATATATATATATATATATATATATATATATATATATAATTCTCTTCTTGGAGACGTTAGAAAACAAGCTGTAAGCGCGCCTTGCAGTCCCTTCTCTTCCTCTCTAGGAAGTCAGGTGAGCTGTGGTTCACGCTAAATGTTTACTATCGTAGAGCCGGGTTTAGTGACGGCTATTAGGGGCATATAATTTAGTTTGAAACGATTTTAAACTTAGGGGAGGTAGCTAAGAGGAGGCTGCTTTCACGGGGGGGGGGGGGGGGGAGGGGGGTATCGTCCTTAACGACTTACTGATAGTGTTTTAAAGCAAATATTTTCATTGACAGCAGTGGTACTGTCGAATTCACAAATTATGAATTACTGAAAAGTAGAAAACAAAACAACTAAATACCGGCGTATCTTGGTTCACCCCGAATGTTTACAATAGTAGAGCCGGTTCGAATGTGACGGCTATTAGGGGCAGATAATTTAGATTTTAAACGATTTGAAAGCAAGGGGAGATAATAAGTTCTGCTTGATATTTTCATTGTCGTCTGTAAACGGCTGATTTCACTGGGCGGGGTGGGGTCGAGTGGGGTGGGGGGGGGGGGGGGTGGGGTGGAGACAGGGGGGGGGGGGGTGGGGTAGTGTCGAATTCACAAAATATGAATTGATGATAAGTAGAAAATAAAACAGCTAGATAGCGGCGTATGCTATGTCGCGGGTCAGCTCGTATATATAATTCTCTTCATGGAGACCATAGAAAACACCACGCATCTTAGCCACACCCTCATCCCCACCTGTCAATTGAGCTGTGGTTCACCCTGAATGTTTACAATCGTAGAACCGGGTTAGTGACTGCTATTAGGGGCAAATAATTTAGTATTAAACGATTTGAAACGAAGGGGAGGTAAACATTTTTTATTGATATTTTCTTTGTCTGTAAACGGCTGCTTTCACTGGGCGGGGGGGGGGGGGGAGAGAGCCCGGGAGGGGGTAGTGTTGATTTCACAAATTATGAATTGCTGATAAGCAAAAAATAAAGCAACATAGGCGGCGTATACTATTTCGCGGGTCAGTTCGTTAATTAATATTTAACCCCCCACCAGGAGGAAAAAAAACTTAGAAAGGATTCTATAGTAATGGAAACTTCAAAAATAGTGTTTTCTTCGAAATATGAAATTATTTTAAACATTATCCTGATTATTGGTTAGGTTTATTAGTAAAGTTGGGTTTAGATTTTCTATAGTCTACTTCATACCAACTGTAAGTTAAATTTTGTTTCTGATAACTTGAATTACCGGTCTTGGTTTAAAACAAGGGTGCTTACAAGTTACCTCCCCTGTTTTTGGAGCGATTTATTTATATCAAAGTGCCTCCGTGACTCAGGGAGCTGAATGAGATATCAGAGCCAGCGGTGCTGAACATTGTCTAGATGGTATAAAGTTGACTATAAATAATATGAACTTACTTAAACGTAAGTAATCAATAGGATACAATGTTAAATCAATTAACTTGAATAATTCAAATATCATTTCCTAAATTTCACACGAGAAATGGGGGTGAAGATGCCTCGCATTCAAACGCTAGGTGCAACTTAAACCACTATACATAAAAATTTTTAAAAAATTTAAAAATAAATAAAAAACAATTGAAATACAACACTGATTGCTATCTTCTGGTTGTAGTTGTTTATTTACAACATGATAATCTGTACAAGTAAAATTTGACATTGGCACGAGGGGTGAATCAGATAAAAAAATTGTAAGCTTTGGTCCAGCATGCAGACTTGTTGGAATGTTGGGTGATAACAAGGTAGGCCGATACAAAACAAAATGTAAAAAGTACAACTGTTGGGCTTAAAGGACACCTAAAGAGGTTGACATTAACCTGACACTGCACGGACACAATTTATAAAAAAATGTACAATGAGGTATCTTGACCTGGACTAAAACACTGTATAAGCCTGGTCAGACTTCTACATCAGATGTAGCCCTAGATCTACATTGATTGTAGCCATATAACTCCATTAAAAGTGGCCCTTAAACTGCACTAGAATAGCGTTAGAACTCCACTAGATGAAGCTCTAGAACTACATCAACAGTAGCCCTAGAACTACATCAGATGTAGCCATAGAACTGCATCAGGTGTAGCCCTAGAACCACACCAGATGTAGCCCTATACTACATCAACTGTGTAGATACCTAGGGTCTAGGGAAACTACTCTAGTTGTCTAGGGTGTCAATAAAACAACTGTCCAAATTATTTTTTTTTTAATATATAACATCAGTCAAACTGGCATTAAACATATTTTTAAAAATAATATGTATCTATTTACAAAATATACATGTCAGTAAATGATTTTCCATTTGTACAATTGTTACATACTTTTAATAATGAACATTTTAAAGCTTTGTGGCTAATTTGCTTAAAATGGTTTTAATTAACAATTTAATTTTTAAATTTAAAAAAAAAATTTACATTTAAATTTCAGATTAAAGCATAGAAACCATGGTAGAGCATAACACAAACACAATACACTCAATACAAACACAATACACTAAATACAAACACAATACAAACACAATACAAACAATACAAACACAATACAAACAATACAAACACAATACAAACAATACAAACACAAAACAAACAATACAAACACAATACAAACACAATACAAACAATACAAACACAATACAAACACAAAACAAACAATACAAACACAATAAAAACAATACAAACACAATACAAACAATACAAAACACAATACAAACAATACAAAACACAATACAAACAATATAAACACAATACACTCAATACAAACACAATACAAACAATACAAACACAATACAAACAATACAAAACACAATACAAACAATACAAAACACAATACAAACAATACAAACACAATACACTCAATACAAACACAATACAAACAATATTCACTCAATACAAACACAATACACTCAATACAAACACAATACAAACAATACAAACACAATACAAACAATACAAACACAATGCAAACAATACAAAACACAATACAAACAATACAAAACACAATACAAACAATACAAACACAATACACTCAATACAAACACAATACAAACAATACAAACACAATACAAACAATACAAACACAATACACTCAATACAAACACAATACAAACAATACTCACTCAATACAAACACAATACACTCAATACAAACACAATGCAAACAATACAAACACAATACACCCAATACAAACACAATACACTCAATACAAACACAATACACTCAATACAAACACAATACAAACAATACTCACTCAATACAAACACAATACACTCAATAAAAACACAACACACTCAATACAAACACAATACAAACAATACTCACTCAATACAAACACAATACAAACAATACTCACTCAATACAAACACAATACAAACAATACAAACACAATACACTCAATACAAACACAAAACACTCAATACAAACACAATACACTCAATACAAACACAATACACTCAATACAAACACAATACAAACAATACAAACCCAATACAAACAATACAAACACAATACACTCAATACAAACACCACACAAAACACATTAGTAAAAGTCTGTTTAGTGTGGTGTCTTGCTACTCTTAACAGGTTTTGAACTTTTTTTTTTAAATCCGCAAACGCTAAAAGACTGAAAATATTATGTAAAATTGAAATGTTTTATTACCTACAAAACGAAACAAGCTCGCACCACTGGGCTTATGTCCCTTAATTGTATTATTTGTTTATTTAAACATTGATGGGAGATAATGGAAATTTTAACCTGTGGGGGAGGGGGTGGAGCAGGAATGGGAAGTATTTCAAATGCTGCTACTTAAAATGCAGGCTAATAATGATATTCATGGTCGTAGACATATTACATATAGAGAGGATAGAAACAGATAGATGACACAACACCAGGTGGTGTTTAATTCATGCAACTGCGTCTCTGGATAGATACTAAAGTGGGGGTTACAGGTGGTGTAGCCATAGGTGTTTTATTTGTTGCACGACATAGCTTTACCCCCACCAACCCTTTACAACCTCCCCTCCCCCTCTTTAATTTAACTGAAGCTTGGTCGATTTTTGGATAATTATTTCTTACTTAAATAGGGCTGGGAAGTAGGTCACCAACCAGTTCTACGGCTCAATAAAAACCGCATGAGCCATAGAACTGGTTGGTGACCTACTTACCAGTCCTATAACAATGAATGTTGTTTAATTTAAAATAACAGACGCTCTTTAAACATGCACATTTGAGATACAGAAGGTGTACACACATCTGTGTAAGATCATTTTCACAGGTACACCTAATATTCACAGGCTTAAGGTCTGCTAGTATACGTTTAGCTTTTTTGTGTTGCTATATTCAGTCATTGGGTCATCTGTTCACATTTAGTTAGACCTCAGATCATGCTGATGGAGCTGTGGTAACGTTTTCTGATGGTGTAGTTGTGGTCACTCATGTTGATGGTGTAGTTGTGGTCACTCATGTTGATGGTGTAGTTGTGGTCACTCATGTTTTCTGATGGTGTAGTTGTGGTCACTCATGTTTTCTGATGGTGTAGTTGTGGTCACTCATGTTTTCTGATGGTGTAGCTGTGGTCACTCATGTTTTCTGATGGTGTAGTTGTGGTCATTCATATTTTCTGATGGTGTAGTTGTGGTCACTCATGTTGATGGTGTAGTTGTGGTCACTCATGTTTTCTGATGGTGTAGCTGTGGTCACTCATGTTGATGATGTAGCTGTGGTCACTCATGTTTTCTGATGATGTAGCTGTGGTCACTCATGTTGATGATGTAGCTGTGGTCACTCATGTTTTCTGATAATGTAGCTGTGGTCACTCATGTTTTCTGATGGTGTAGCTGTGGTCACTCATGTTGATGGTGTAGTTGTGGTCACTCATGTTTTCTGATGGTGTAGCTGTGGTCACTCATGTTTTCTGATGGTGTAGTTGTGGTCACTCATGTTTTCTGATGGTGTAGCTGTGGTCACTCATGTTTTCTGATGGTTAGCTGTGGTCACTCATGTTTTCTGATAATGTAGCTGTGGTCACTCATGTTTTCTGATAATGTAGCTGTGGTCACTCATGTTTTCTGATGGTGTAGCTGTGGTCACTCATGTTTTCTGATGGTGTAGCTGTGGTCACTCGAGTGGTCATCTGTCCACATTTAGTTAGCTAGGACACAGTGGATGGCAGACAATGAGTTAACCATGCGCTCAGTGGGGTGGACGTTAAGCCTGGTGAGAACCAAAGGACAGTAGTGATCTGCCAGTAGTCTGCCTGGCTAATGGGAGCCGGTGATGTCCGTAAAGAAAGAATGCGATAAAATCCTGTAAACCGGAAGCTCTTTTAGTTCAAGTCACATATCACGTGGTTGAACTCTCCACATGCCAAATTTTTTTACACAGAGAGCCATATTTTGCAGGGTAAATTCTCGGGTTGTTCGCGGTTGTAAAAATCCGATCTTAATTAGAGTCTAGAAAATGTCTATCCTGTTAAAAGTTTATGAAAATGTGTTGTATGGGAAGGCGTGTCCACAACATCCACACGATTCAAAGGTTGATTAAAACCTGGCAAGGTTCATTCAAACAATCGATTTCTGTCCAGAAACTAGATGGGTTGGTTACAAAACCAAGTCTAGAAACAAAGGGGTTAATTCGTTCACGTTCAGTTCAGACAACTACTGGTTTAATAAAACCCTCCAGTGAAATAAAAACGGTTAATAAAATCACTTTTTTTCTGTGCAAACTTCCATGAGACAAAATCAAATGTCTAATTCCACATGACACGTTTCTACAAGTACAGACGGAATCAAATATCTATTTCCACACGAAATGTGTTCTATTACACATGTGCACAGTTCCGTCATTTAACAACCTCCAAAAGTTCTCAAACAGGCCTCCTCCAATGGTTCTCACACAGACCTCCTATTTATATGGTGATGTGAGACCCGCATCAATTTCTTCTTGGTGTGTGGCGTGTCCTCTAAGCTCCGTCTGCGGAACACGCTGCCGAGTTTTTTAGACATGTTTTCAAACAGACTTTTGCGCCGCTTGATGGGGCGTCCCTTCTGGCAGAGGGCGCTCAACGTCTGCACCATCAGGGCCTGCAGTTGGCTGACCACCATCACGTGACTCTCGGCCGCCGAGACCTCCGTGTGTAGACAATCGTAGCTTGACTTTAGTTGGCAGACGTCGTCCTTACACACCTGTTGGAAATAGAATCGTGTTACATGGGGGCAGTGGCGTAGCGAGGTCGGGTGTCACCCGGTGCGGCACTTAATGGTGTCACCCCCCCCCCAGAGGCGTTGCGACCCTTCCCGGGGACAAACTTTCATGTTTTCGATTTGCACCCCCCCCCTCTCAAACTTTCAATTTGCACCCCCCCCCCCCTCAAGTTTTTGATTTGCACCCCCCCTCAAGTTTTTCTCTATATATTTTACTTTTTTTTGCCTTGGTGTCACCCCCCTAAATGGTGTCACCCAGTGCGGTCCGCACCCCCCGCCCCCCCCCCCCCCTCGCTACGCCCCTGTTCATTTATAATTTTAAACAATTTATTGTTTCGTTTTCGCTGCTTCCCGTATTAAAGCTGTTAATATGTTTATTACCTTAAACTGAAATATAACAATTTTCGTTTTTTTAAAACGAATATTTCATGATGTATGATTGTATTTGTTATATTAGAAATCTAAGTTCTAGATGTAATGAAATGTGTAAAAAGTCATTGATATACAGCTAGAGATGGGTGAAACAAGATTGTGAGGTGCATCGGGAAATTGAAGGGATGCTATGTGTGGGGTTGCTTAATGGCGAGGATGGTATGGGGCGAGGATGGTATGGGATGGGGATGGTATGGGGTGGGGGTAGTAGGGGATGGGGTGGGGTGGGGATGGTATGGGGTGTGGATAGTATGGTATGGGGTGGGGATGGTATGGGATGGGGATAGTAGGGGATGGGGTGGGGGATGGTATGGTGTGGGGGTAGTAGGGGATGGGATGGGGTGGGGATAGTATGGGATGGGGTGGGAATGGTATGGGGTGTGGATAGTATGGAATGTGGTGGGGATGGTATGGGATGGGGATAGTAGGGGATGGGGTGGGGGATGGTATGGGGTGGGGGTAGTAAGGGATGGTATGGGGTGGGTGGGGATGGCTGGGTGTGATGTTTTTCCCAGATTAATTTCCTCCCAATATTAGAGGAAAAAATGTTCACCTTTCTGGCGTGGTCAAGGTCAAGCTTGTTCCCCAGCAGTAGGATCGGCGTGTGCGGGGGTGTCCTTGACCTAATCGTCTGCACTTCCTTCTGCGCGACCTTGAAACTCTCCGTGTCAGTGACGCTGTACACGACGACAAAGCCGTCGGCGTCGTAAAGGTCGTGACATGACGCCTGGCACTCGTCCTGGGGAGGATAATGTGAGAACTGTTGCATTGTGGGGATAATGTGAGAACTGTGGGGATAATGTGAGAACTGTTGCATTGTGGGGATAATGTGAGAACTGTTGCATTGTGGTAATAATGTGAGAACTGTTGCATTGTGGTAATAATGTGAGAACTGTTGCATTGTGGGAATAACGAGAGAACTGTTGCATTGTGGGAATAATGTGAGAACTGTTGCATTGTGGGGATAATGTGAGAACTGTGGGGATAATGTGAGAACTGTTGCATTGTGGGGATAATGTGAGAACTGTTGCATTGTGGGAATAATGTGAGAACTGTTGCATTGTGGGGATAATGTGAGAACTGTTGCATTGTGGGGATAATGTGAGAACTGTGGGGATAATGTGAGAACTGTGGGGATAATGTGAGAACTGTTGCATTGTGGGGATAATGTGAGAACTGTTGCGTTGTGGGGATAATGTGAGAACTGTTGCATTGTGGGAATAATGTGAGAACTGTTGCATTGTGGGAATAATGTGAGAACTGTTGCATTGTGGGAATAATGTGAGAACTGTTGCATTGTGGGAATAATGTGAGAACTGTTGCATTGTGGGAATAATGTGAGAACTGTTGCATTGTGGGGATAATGTGAGAACTGTTGCATTGTGGGGATAATGTGAGAACTGTGGGGATAATGTGAGAACTGTTGCATTGTGGGGATAATGTGAGAACTGTTGCATTGTGGGAATAATGTGAGAACTGTTGCATTGTGGGAATGTGAGAACTGTTGCATTGTGGGGATAATGTGAGAACTGTTGCGTTGTGGGGATAATGTGAGAGATGTTGCGTTGTGGGGATAATGTGAGAACTGTTACACTGTGGGGATATTGTGAGAACAGTTGCATTGTGGGAATAATGTGAGAAATGTTGCATTGTGGGAATAATGTGAGAACTGTTGCATTGTGGGGATAATGTGAGAACTGTTGCATTGTGGGAATAATGTGAGAACTGTTGCATTGTGGGGATAATGTGAGAACTGTTGCATTGTGGGAATAATGTGAGAACTGTTGCGATGTGGAGATAATGTGAGAGATGTTGCGTTGTGGGGATAATGTGAGAAGATGTATAATATTTTTAAGAATATAAGCAATTGGTCGTCGATTACAAGCAAATATCTTTTCAATTGTGAGAACTGCTATATTACTGTTTAATAAATATTGCTACACTGTTGTGTTAATTTTTATAAATATTGTGTATAATTTATTTATTTTTTGTTGAAATAGGTTAATATTCTGCTTCACTATATAAAATTTTGAAGTATTTAATTTAAGCGTTGAGAAAATATTTTAAAAAACTATTAAAAGTAACACGGGAGGCAATAAAGCAAGAGACTAGCTGGACTTTCTAAATTTCATTGGTTACCGGCCTTGGTGCAAATCACGCATGTTCGTGTCTGATGCTGTGAAATACACCTTTTAACACCTCAGACACCTTCGATTGTGGGGTAATCAGGTTTTTGGCGCTGATGGCCGTAAAAATTTAATAGACCCAACATTCAAGGTAATGGAAATCAGCGTCGACTTTTTTTTTTAAGTATTTGGTTGGCTTTCATTTGTTGCTATGAGACGTGATAAGCAGATATTTAAAGGTAACTTTTTTATTAGATTACATTAAATTATTTTTAATGGTGGTAATTTGCTTATATTTGTCCATTTTATTATAAGTTTTGTAGATTACAGGTCTTAAAGAATTTAGATATTTAAAGAAGCTTATAAGTTGTCCCATTACAAAAAGGGAGGTAATAAACATTGTTTTTGTATTCACAAGATTAGAAACCCTTACAACACATGTAGGCTATGTAAAATTTTCTTAGTTATTAGAATGTATTTTTATTTAGGTAAACTAAGCTGATGTTCAGTTCTTGTTTGTTTTCTTTCCACCAGAGCTCATAAAACTTTTAGATAGTTGTTTTAACGGTAGCAGTGCGTGTTTTTTTTACTCAATTAAATATGGCTCAATACCTCCTAACCTCTAAAACAACCCACCTTACAACGCCCCTGACCTCTAGACCAACCCACCTTACACCGCCCCTGACCAACCCACCTTACACCGCCCATGACCTCTAGACCAACCGACCTTACACCGCCCCTGATCTCTAGACCAGCACACCATACTCCGCCCATGACCAACCCACCATACTCCGCCCCTGATCAACCCTGACCAACCCGCCTTACACAGCCCCTGACCTCTAGACCAACCCACCATACTCCGCCCCTGACCAACCCACCTTACACCGCCCCTGACCAACCCGCCTTACACAGCCCCTGACCTCTAGACCAACCCACGTTACACCGCCCCTGACCAACCCACCTTACACCGCCCCTGACTAACCCACCTTACACCCCCCCCTGAACTCTAGACCAACCCACCCTACACCGCCCCTGACCAACCCACCTTACACCGCCCCTGACCTCTACACTAACCCACCTTACACCGCCCCTGACTAACCCACCTTACACCGCCCCTGACCAACCCACCTTACACCGCCCCTGACCTCTAGACCAACCCTCCTTACACCGCCCCTGACCAACCCACCTTACACCGCCCCTGACCAACCCACCTTACACCGCCCCTGACCTATACACCAACCCACCTAACGTCACCTTTGTTTATCACCAGTGTACAACCTGGCCAGTCTATCAGTATAGAGACTGACGCCGCTGGGATAATTACCTGGCCAGTCTATCAGTATAGAGACTGACGCCGCTGGGATAATTACCTGGCCAGTCTATCAGTATAGAGACTGACGCCGCTGGGATAATTACCTGGCCAGTCTATCAGTATAGAGACTGACGCCGCTGGGATAATTACCTGGCCAGTCTATCAGTATAGAGACTGACGCCGCTGGGATAATTACCTGGCCAGTCTATCAGTATAGAGACTGACGCCGCTGGGATAATTACCTGGCCAGTCTATCAGTATAGAGACTGACGCCGCTGGGACAATTACCTGGCCAGTCTATCAGTATAGAGACTGACGCCGCTGGAATAATTACCTGGCCAGTCTATCAGTATAGAGACTGACGCCGCTGGAATAATTACCTGGCCAGTCTATCAGTATAGAGACTGACGCCGCTGGAATAATTACCTGGCCAGTCTATCAGTATAGAGACTGACGCCGCTGGAATAATTACCTGGCCAGTCTATCAGTATAGAGACTGACGCCGCTGGAATAATTACCTGGCCAGTCTATCAGTATAGAGACTGACGCCGCTGGGATAATTACCTGGCCAGTCTATCAGTATAGAGACTGACGCCGCTGGGATAATTACCTGGCCAGTCTATCAGTATAGAGACTGACGCCGCTGGGATAATTACCTGGCCAGTCTATCAGTATAGAGACTGACGCCGCTGGGATAATTACCTGGCCAGTCTATCAGTATAGAGACTGACGCCGCTGGGATAATTACCTGGCCAGTCTATCAGTATAGAGACTGACGCCGCTGGGATAATTTCCTGGCCAGTCTATCAGTATAGAGACTGACGCCGCTGGGATAATTACCTGGCCAGTCTATCAGTATAGAGACTGACGCCGCTGGGATAATTACCTGGCCAGTCTATCAGTATAGAGACTGACGCCGCTGGGATAATTACCTGGCCAGTCTATCAGTATAGAGACTGACGCCGCTGGGATAATTACCTGGCCAGTCTATCAGTATAGAGACTGACGCCGCTGGGATAATTACCTGGCCAGTCTATCAGTATAGAGACTGACGCCGCTGGGATAATTACCTGGCCAGTCTATCAGTATAGAGACTGACGCCGCTGGGATAATTACCTGGCCAGTCTATCAGTATAGAGACTGACGCCGCTGGGATAATTACCTGGCCAGTCTATCAGTATAGAGACTGACGCCGCTGGGATAATTACCTGGCCAGTCTATCAGTATAGAGACTGACGCCGCTGGGATAATTACCTGGCCAGTCTATCAGTATAGAGACTGACGCCGCTGGGACAATTACCTGGCCAGTCTATCAGTATAGAGACTGACGCCGCTGGGATAATTACCTGGCCAGTCTATCAGTATAGAGACTGACGCCGCTGGGATAATTACCTGGCCAGTCTATCAGTATAGAGACTGACGCCGCTGGGATAATTACCTGGCCAGTCTATCAGTATAGAGACTGACGCCGCTGGGATAATTACCTGGCCAGTCTATCAGTATAGAGACTGACGCCGCTGGGATAATTACCTGGCCAGTCTATCAGTATAGAGACTGACGCCGCTGGGATAATTACCTGGCCAGTCTATCAGTATAGAGACTGACGCCGCTGGGATAATTACCTGGCCAGTCTATCAGTATAGAGACTGACGCCGCTGGGATAATTACCTGGCCAGTCTATCAGTATAGAGACTGACGCCGCTGGGATAATTACCTGGCCAGTCTATCAGTATAGAGACTGACGCCGCTGGGATAATTACCTGGCCAGTCTATCAGTATAGAGACTGACGCCGCTGGGATAATTACCTGGCCATAAACCTGAACCCAACCCATGGGATAAACGTGAGAAACCAGCCAACCCGACTCTTAAGTCACCTCGGGCTGTTTGTTCCTTGGTGAGTCAGCACCGCTGACGCAGGAGTCAGCTAACAATGAGACTTGTGATCGACGAATACAAGTGATGGGTGGGGTGGGACGGGGGTTTAGATCAAAACTTATTGTTTTTATGCTTGGACTGTAAAGTCAGAGCTCAATGTGTATGGCCTCTAATGTATAATATACTCGAGATATAGCTTGGAATAGAAATATACTAATAAGTAATCGTGTATCTGTATATCTATATATCTATCTATATATATAATTCTCTTCTGGGATCAGTTAGAAAGCGCGCCTTTGCAGTCCCCTCTCTTCCTCACTATCACTACCACCCCCACCCCACCCCCACATGACCTGGTGAGCGGTGTTCACTCTGTTTATATATTACAATCATAGAGACGGGTTTGGTGATGGCTATTAGGGGCAGATAATTGAGTTTGAAACGATTTTAAACTTAGAGGAGGTAACTAAGAGGAGGCTGCTTTCACGTGGGGGGGGGGGGGGGGTTTAGTGTTTTTAAGCAAATATTTTCAATGGCAGCATTGGTACTGTCGAATTCACAAATTATAAATTACTGAAAAGTAGAAAAAAAAACTAAATAGCGGCGTATGATACGCAGCGGGTCGGCTCGTATATTTATAATCGTATAATTTTAACTTCACGGCATATACAGAGGCGTAGCCCCCGGGGCCGCCGCCCCAGCAGCCCTCTCCTAGCTACGCCCTTGGGAATATCTAACATTTAATATTCAATCTCAAATCATTGTTTCACATTTGACAGAAGCCAGGATATAAAAAAAAAATTTTTTTTAAATATATCGCACCAAAAAAAAAATCTAATTTCACATAGGCCAACATTTTCTTACAATACATTTCTTTACGTACTCAAACTTTTGAACTATAAATGAGTAAATATTTCGGGAAATCCCACAACTGTAGGGTCAAAACTGCACGGAACACATTCATCAACGACGCTTTGATGATCGCCCCATTCATTTAGCACCTTCTTGGGTTCGGTTGTCCCCCCTGTTCCCGTTTGACCCGGGCAGGTTAAGGTCAGGTCACTCATCATAACAGTACTTTCACTGATGGTACGGCTACTAGGATTGGAGCTTTTATTGTGTGACGTCATATGTCTACCGCTAATTGATTGGGTGGAGTTTTGTATTGTAAATACTGCCCTCTATTTGTTTACTAAAAATAGTTGAGTTGTCTTTAAAAAAAACACTCATACTCCTTGCCTGCTACTTTATTTATAGTGGGTTTTTTGTTTAGTAAAGTTGGTATCGACGTGAAGTTCAAGGTAGGCACGAGGGTTAAGGTTTACAGACAGGGGTCATATAGGGATAAAGGCAGGGGTCAGGATTAGTGCCAGGATTAACGTAAGAATACAGGTAAAACAAATAGCTTCGATAGCTTGTACCGGTTTTTGAACTTGTGTTGAAAAGATTTCTGAAGCAATAAATATAAACTTTTTTAATGCTAATGCTAAAATAAGTGTATGCTTTTCTTCTAAGTTTTTTTAGAACTTAAAAGCTTATTATCTTTCTGAAAAAGTATACAGGTATTAATCATAAGCGGATTTTCATTATTTAATTATTTTTTTTTTAACTTTTTTTTTTCGTAAATTAAAGCAACGATCTGGGAACTTTTGATAAGCCTACACCTCTCCCAATTATTGTTTTTTGTTTTTTTTGTTGTTTTTTTTTTCCGAAAAATCCATAGATTCGCCTGAGGTTTTATTCTAAATTTTAAAATCTAGTAGATTCATTGTGTCTTACAAGGTACAGATTTAGATTTCAGTTGCGTTGGGCAGTGTTTTTTCCAGAATTTTTTTACGGAGGGGGGGGGGGGGCATGGATAAAATTTTCCAGGGGGGGGGGGTGGACACTGGTAAATTTCGTTCGGGGGGGGCGGTAGACTTTTAACAGCCCCCCTCTCCCCCGAAGAGATGCATGGAAGAAACTGTGTCGTTGGGTGATACGTATTGGCTGAACTAAAGAGATTATCACGTGACGAAACGGCGTCTCCTTAAGCTTTAGCGGTCGTCTGCAAGTCTCGGTGAGAGAACCCTTTTTGAAATCCAGAGTAATCCCCCGTGCAAGGAAGTTACGTCACGACTTGACCTTCAAACTTCCAAGTATTGTTCAGTGGGTTTTTTGCTTTCATTTCAAAATATAAGACTTGTTTTTTGTTTAAACAATGCTCTGGTGTATAGCGATGTTAACGTTTTGGATGATTGTATCCTTTTCACTATCTGACAATGGACTCTTCTGAAAATAGGGGTGTTAGGTTGTTAGAAGTCAATGTGTCTTCCAAAATTAGGGGTGTTAGGTTGATGGTAAATCTATTATTGTAATATCGGGATAAGTATTAAGGATATAAATTAGAATTAGGGCTATGGTAGGAATCGGGTTGGTTTTTCAGTTAGGGCTATGGTTAGGATTGGCATTAGCGTGCTACATTAGTTTTTATCAGACTTACTGTAACATAATATCCTTTAAGAAGATTCAATTATGTTGGCATGATCGAAGTCTGGAACATAACACCCTTTTTTTAAGGAAGAGTGTGGTTTTATCGGTAAATACACCCAGATAATTTTGACGTTTTCGTTTGACATGATCAAAGTGTTTACCACTAGCAATGTAATACATCTTTCTTATCAACTTAAAGGCACTATTCAACAAATATAAGGCTGTTTTTTTTAAGAACCATGAAAAAAACTGGGGATTACATAAAGATAGTGTTGACATCTGAAGAAGTCTCCCCCCTTTGTGATCCCATGATTTAACCAACCAATAGAAACGCCTCCCGCAGTTAAAAGTGTCCGGATCAGCAGCAAACGTGAGACCCGTCCGTGTGCCGGTGGGGCAACTAATAGCCCCGGTAACACCACGTGACAGGTTGCTAAGTGCTGCAAACAGGAAGTGACATTGACAACGGCTTTAGCTTGTCTTCTTGGCGATCAACAAGGTCAAGGACAAGGGGGGAGGGGAGGTTAATGCAAGGTGTTTGAAAAACATGGAGCGGGAGAAAGGCGTCTTGGAACGTCGTTGATTCTGAGAGCAACTACAACAGACTACATGCTGGTTGAGCTTAGTGCTGTCGAAATATCCTTGACCTTCGCGGGGATATAATAACAAGCAGACAAGGAATCTTTGTTCTTCAGATGTCTATGTCAAGATGTCACAGATATAGTTTTCGAGAAATCTAATTGACATTTTATCGTAACGAACAGAATCTCAGCTCTTGAGATCTAGATGACGTAATGTTAAAACAGAATCTCGGTTATTGAGATAGCGAGGTTGAGTAAGATGCTAACAAACAGGAACTTAGTTCTCGAGATATCTAGGCGGTGTTATGTTAATGTGTCAAAATGTAGTCACAGGGCGTGGCCACAAACAAACACGCCCACCAACAAGTTAAGTCAGAAAATTGATTGTAAATATAAAACCAAGGCTAAACACACTGCGTTTACATTGTGTTTTATAGATTAAAAAAAAGGGATAGGGGGTTGCTTCAACAAGGACAAAATATAAACAGGGGGAAAAAAAGCACGGACAAAATAAAACAGACGAAGTTAATAGAGTGCCAAAAAGGGGAACAATAAAAACAGGGACAAAGTCAATAAAAGAAGACTAAAAAAAACTACTTTTATGGCGAGGATGTCAGCAATGAGTGGAAATATGTATAACAGAGTGGGTAGATGCGACATAAACCTAATGCATCTTCTATATGTGCTCAGTAACAAGGATAAGTGAAGAAAAGTCACAGAAAAAAAGTCACAGTAGAAATGTCAAAGCAAAAAATAACACGAAAGAAAGTCAGTTCCTGCACCTACACTTGTCTAATCTCTTTATCTCTATTTACTGCACCTCTGCCTAGCCCCCCTCCCCCATCCCACACACACACACACACACCGACAAACCTATCTTTAGACACATTACACCACAATCCTTTCTCTTTTGCCACCCAACACATCATACTATTGTCAACCCCCCCCCCCATACCACCCCGTCTTTACCCCCCCCCCCCACACACACACACAAACAACGCATTTCTCTTCACCCACACACTACCCGCACACCTGCCTTACCTGACTGGAAACATCCAGAATGTCGACTTTAATGGGCAGGTCGCCGTGTGTTACCGTCGTCTGGTAACTGATGTCTGTCACAATAAAATAAAAGAAATTCAAATACACATTTTTATCGTTTTTTAAATAGTTTTTAAATCTTTAAAACTATGTATTAATTACTTAAAATCTTTCTAAATAAAAATTATGTACGGTTTATAACGATATATGTGATTGTGAAAGTTAATGTGGGTGATATTTGACTCTGTAGTAAATCATAAAAAGAAATGAACACTAAACCAGCTGACCACTGTGTTGAACTAACGACATGCAATAACCAACACTCGTATTTTTATGGTGGGTAGAATTCCTAGTGTCCGGTTGAATGAAGGCTAATTACCTGACCGAGTTCGTTGATTGAGTCCAATATTAATTAGCTGCAGCGTAACTGTGTTAGTGGGGGGGGGGGGGGGGGGGAATAACGAGCCGTTACAAGAGAAAAGGGGTGAAGAGGGGGCGGGGGGGGGGGGCGGGGGGGGGGGGGGGGTTGGGTGTACGTTTCTGTGACAGGCTAGTTTGTGTGTATGTGTGTTTGTATGTGTGTGTGTGTTAACTGTGACAAGCTAGTGGGGGGGTGGGGTGGGGTGACAACCAAGAGACCAAGTTCCAGTGTTTCTCAGACTGCGTGTGCTTAGCGTCAATTTTTTTTAAACCCCCATTTTTTGCTTAGTTCAATTAAAATTCAGATTAGACTTGATCAGGAAAAAACATTTTTAAACGTCAGGAATTAAGAGCTGGTTGGGAAGTGCATACCCCCCGCCCTTCCCCACCCTCATGTACTTAATACAGCCCTCGTCACGTGACCCAGAGATTACCAGAGCTCCCACAATGTCAGGCTGACACCCAAAACAAGTCAGGAATTAAAAGCAAGAGCACTCGAAACAGCCAGTAATTAGGTGCTTCAGCCCTGGGTCACCATGACCGCACCGAGTGGTTAATTATCACAGGTCGAGTCAACAGCTGGATCGAATGGCGTTGTGTATGTTGTATAGATCACCAATATAGAAGTGTATATGTTGTATAGATCACCAATATAGAAGTGTATATATGTTGTATAGATCACCAATATAGAAGTGTATATGTTGTATTGATCACCAATATCGAAATGTGTATATGTTGTATAGATCACCAATATAGAAGTTTGTATATGGTGTATAGATCACCAATATAGAAGTTTGTATATGTTGTATAGATCACCAATATAGAAGTGTATATATGTTGTATGGATCACCAATATTGAAATGTGTCTGTGTTTGTAGTATAGATCACCAATATAGAAGTGTATATGTTGTATAGATCACCAATATAGAAGTGTGCATGTTGTATAGATCACCAATATAGAAGTGTATATATGTTGTATAGATCACCAATATAGAAGTGTATATGTTGTATAGATCACCAATATAGAAGTGTGTATATGTTGTATAGATCACCAATATAGAAGTGTGTATATGTTGTATAGATCACCAATATAGAAGTGTGTATGTTGTATAGATCACCAATATAGAAGTGTGCATGTTGTATAGATCACCAATATAGAAGTGTGTATATGTTGTATAGATCACCAATATAGAAGTGTGTATATGTTGTATAGATCACCAATATAGAAGTGTGTATATGTTGTATAGATCACCAATATAGAAGTGTGTATATGTTGTATAGATCACCAATATAGAAGTGTGTATATGTTGTATAGATCACCAATATAGAAGTGTGTATATGTTGTATAGATCACCAATGCTGACGTGTATACGTTGTATAAATCACCAATATCGAAATGTGTGTATGTTGTATAGATCACCAATATCGAAGTGTGTGTATGCTGCACAGATCACCATATCGAAGTTTACGTATGTTGTATAGATCACCATTATCGAATTGTGTCTGTATATGTTGTATAGATTACCAATATCGTAATGTGTCTGTGTTTGTTGCATAGATCACCAATATCGAAGTGTGTGTATGCTGCACAGATCACCATATCGAAGTTTACGTATGTTGTATAGATCACCATTATCGAATTGTGTCTGTATATGTTGTATAGATTACCAATATCGTAATGTGTCTGTGTTTGTTGCATAGATCACCAATATCGAAGTGTATCTGTGTATGTTGTATAAATAAAACTTCCTATAAAGTGTCATAGAGATTCTTGCATAACCGGGTTTTGGACCCAGACCTTTAGGGCTTTGATCACACACTCTACCACTCGACCATCCCATTCCATACAGTAGTCGTACAACACCACAATTGTCACGTACTCCTATAACTAATAATATGTAAATATATTTATAAAACGATGTGTGCATCAACGCGATCACCCCGTTCCTCACGTATACCCGAATACCACTTGTAACAACACAAGCCCCGTTGTCATGGCGGACAAAAGGGAGAGAACTGATTGATAAACCATAATTCTGTAATTACAAGGGACATCATCCCGGGTTTTATGTGACCTGTCTGTTGTGTCAATCTGGCAGTTATCTTCCCATTCTCCCCCCACCCGCGCATCCCTGCAAACGACGTTAGACTCCTCCAACTTTGACCTTTTGACCGCGGTCTGAAGGAGCACCCCGATGACAGCATAAATCTCCGTTAAAGCCGAGTGGACGCTGGGTGGTGTCACGTGATACCCGTACCTGCCTTGACATCTTTACCTAGCGCCGACGGACATGTTTACTCTATCTTTATATCCCACGAACCGAACAAAAATATTGTCAAAGCATAGATCGGGTTGCCTTTAGAACTGTATCAAGCTGTGGGCTCAACTTCCCGCAAGTGAAATAGGCCTAGATATATATATATATATATATATATCTTTAAACATCGGGCCATCTGTGATATACCGGGATAGGCCTGGATATTTATATATAAAAACATTGATACCTAGCGATTTTCATTTTATATCGCGTGGAACGTGGTAAACAATTGTGGTGTTAACATAAATTTTCAAACATTATTTCAGCTAATAAAATTAGAGCCGTAATGTAAATTATATTTTAATTATAATGAATAACAATAATCATAAAGATGGGGGACAAAAATAGATCTAGGATAATGAGTTGAAGAATATATCTTCTATATATATAATTCTCTTCTTGGAGACGTTAGAAAACACCAAGCTGTAAGCACGCCTAGCAGTCCCCTCTCTTCCTCTCTAAGCATATCCCTACCACCCCCCACCCCCACATGGTCTGGCGAGCTGTGGATCACGCTAAATGTTTACAATCGTAGAGCCGGGTTTAGTGATGGCTATTAGGGGCAGATAATTTAGTTTTAAACGATTTTAAACTTAGAGAAGGTAACTAAGAGGGGGCTGCTTTTTCACGGGGGGGGGGGGGGGGGGTGGGGGAAAGGGGGGTTTTAGTGTTTTAAAGCAAATATTTTCAGTGACAGCATTGGTACTGTCGAATTCACAAATTATGAATTACTGAAAAGTAGAAAATAAAACTAAATAACGGCGTGTGATACGCCGCGGGTCGGCTCGTGCTAAATAAATTAACTACGGCACACAAGATGCTAAACTAATAACCTTACTACAGCACGTATGAAATTCTGGTCCTTTGATATTGTTATACGTTTATGTAAATTGCTTGTCTCGCGAGAAAGACAGCCATGTGAACCGCCATCGTAAATAAGAAACAATCAGGGTAAAATAAAATTCTGGATCACCAAGCATTTATTATTAAAATTGAAATAAACAGTACAAAAACATAGCTGGCCTCTCTCCTGATATATCTAGTTAACTCGAGCATCATAAATCAGATAACACACACACACACACACACACACACACACACACACACACACAAACACACACACACACACACATCCATGATGAAACCATTTCCTAATTTAGAAAACTATAAATAACTGTTCCAACTTCCGGGAAAACCCTGTCGCCCGACAGTGACGACATGACTACGTCATGTTTACGAGCATACATGACCATTCTGAGAACAACTGATGTAACGCTACATTCCTAAGGTCATGACCTTATTGTGAGTTTAAAAGTACTATAAATTTTGAAGTCAGATGTTAAAAAAAATGAAACATTTAAAAATGAAAACTGGTTCGTATGCAAATGCGTTTGTTTAAATAGATAGCTTTGTGTGCGCATTGAACGTTATTCAACGTCCATACAAACTGGTCAAGCTTATTGGGCTACTTAAAGCCGTCTCGACAAGTTTTCAAAAGCAACTTTTGAACGACAACTTTTCAAAACCAACTTTTGAACGACAACTTTTGAAAACCAACTTTTGAACGACAACTTTTCAACGGCATCTTTTCCATAGCAACTCACAGAGACACATTTTCTAACGGAAACTTCACATTTGCAACTTAATTAAGTTTTCGCACGTTAAAGCAGTTCCAAAAAACTATTTAACTAACACAAAAAACGCCTTATATTGTTTTAATTTGTTGCACGACTTTTCTGACAGATGAAGAGGTCGGCCATTAAAGATTTCACATTCTAAAATTGTTAATTGAACAGTTCCATTTGCATACTTCCTTAGTATCAAGTTTGCTTTGCCCACAGTTAAGAGCTATTCACCCATAGAACTACCAAAGTCTATTTTTATATCGCTGTGTACATTTAATGTACATAACCAACACACTGGCTATATTTTCTAATTAGGATTGACACCATATTTCAGCCTAACGTAAACTAAACTTATCCGATCACGTCCCTAACTAATCCTTTAACAAGCCTACGCCCGACCCGTCAAGTACCCCCACCCCCTACTCTAGTCAACAGACCCCGGGTGTCAGTGCATGCCCCGTGTCGCGAGACACCTAAGGTGGATTAGGAAAATACATTAGTGAGACGGTCATTGTTGGGGCGGCGCCGCAATTATTTTCACGGTCAATCGATGGCAGTTACTTCCCCTAGTATTTCTGAAGTGGCGTGTGTTTTACTATCACTACTGTGTCGATATACTCGAGAACTTTCCAACTCGTTAGGCTTATATTTACTGACTTGGGGATGGTGGGGGGGGGGGGGGGGGGGGGTAGATGAGTAGGTGGAATAGGGGAGGGTGTCGCTCCGAGCGGCATTTTGTATTCAAAATTATGAAAAATAGATTGTGTAAATTGATTTAGATTACAGTGAAGCTATATAAACAATCGATCAACATGCAAATAAGTATAGCTAAACAACTTGTCAAATATATAATTATTGCAGTATTAATTGCGTTTCGAATGTTATTTTAGTTCGGGATTTTAAAATAAAATAAATATTTACTTTTTAATTATGTCATTGTAGCAGTATTTATTGCGTTTCGAATGTTATTTTAGTTCGGAATTTTAAAGTAAAATAAATATTTACTTTTTAAATATGTAAATAAGGGACAGAGGGTTAGTTGTATATGTTAAAAAGTGAATTGTGTTGAAAAATAAAAACACATTGTCATTCGACGAGTGATTAAGTAGTGATTTTTGTGTGTGAAATACGTTAAGGTGATACGTGTTTAAAATGTAAATTTTCACCTGATTTTGGGCGGTTGTGTTGTTAGTTGTGTGAGGTGACTTGAATGTGGATACAGGGGGACCCAGATGTTAGGCCCCTGGTCCTAAGGGGACGTCACGCGAGGCAACGCTAATCCAGGGATTATCTCTCGTGTCGGGACAACTTGACTGCACGAACTTTGTGTGCAGGCCTAGTGTTTATTGGTTTTGGTGGGGTTTTTTTTACTATGTGGTTGTTTTTATAAATAGCCAGGATAGGTTCTTGTACTGTTAGTGCATTTCGTTCTGTCCTGTACTAGATCAGGGATTTATCCAAGTTTTTTTTTTTTAATTATTATTTCGGTGCTTTGGGTCGTTTTGTGATCTTTAACGTAGTCGTAAAAATACAACAACAAAAAACTGTAGTATCATTACCTTAAACTTAATCCTAACCCTAATCCTAACTCGTATGCTTATCAAAAACAGCGGCAGAAATATTTTTTTTTCATTAAACGAAATGCATTTCCCACACGTTGGGTAGATTTGTCTCGTTTTTTTTAAGAGTAATACGAAATCGTTGCCCTCCATTCAGGTTGTATTACTCTTTAAAAACTAGACAGATTTTCATTAACATACGTTCGGGGGAATACAATACAATTGTGACTTCAATTTTGGAGGTCTGACTTAATTTGACATACAACATCATTTGAGGTAAAAGTCTACTAAAGTTATACGTCTTTTATAGACACAATTTCCCCCCCCCCCCCCCCCCCCAATCCACACCTATTGAATCACTAATGAAAATTCCGAAGTTTGTCATTCACCCGATAGGTCCATTAAAAACCTCAATCTCTGCGCACTTTTAAATCCTGAACTTAAAAATATTTGATTATCAGGTGTTAAGGGGAAGGAACCCATTGTAGGGATCCAGGGTAGTAGAAGTGTGTGAACACAAGTGGCAATCCCTGTGCGAATTTTCTCCGGCTGTCCTTGAGCTAAGGTGCACTAAGGCGCAGCACGGTGCACTAAGGTGCAGCCGGCAAACTGAGCGCAGTGAGCAATAAAAATGAATCAAACAATAATAGAAGCGAAGAGCTGGGATAATCTACGTCGTTAAAAAAAATGCCCCTCTTCAAACTTCAGCGTTGTTACCGATGATATTTTCGCGAGGTAAGCAAGGCTAGGTAAGAGAGGCGGAAATTTATCAAAGTGAAAGTTGAGACGTTGTTTATCAAAGGGCAGGTAACTACCGTATAATTTTAAAAAAATTTTCCGCTTGGGGAAAAGAATTGCTTTCAAAATATGAGGATAGATGCTAATCGTAAGCGAGGGGTGGGACAGGGGTGAGGTTGAAGGAAGGTCTTTGAACGAACTAAAAGTAAACACGACGACCATAGTGGTGTTGTATTGAGGATAGATCAAAAGGATTTTCCCCCACTTAAGCATGAGTCACCTGATTCTTTGTTTACAGTTTTCTGAAAAGCTTATAACAACAAGTAAACAATGTCACGTGGTTACTGTCATGGTGTTTGTTTTCGTTAAAGACGGCCAATTAGCAGGTAAGTGTTTTTGTAATTAGTAGACTTAAATTATTATATTAGTGAGGAGGAGAATTACGATTAATTAGTGACTACTACTAGGTGTGGTGAGATAATGAGGTAGTTGTGATAGATAAAAGTGAGACCTTTGTTAAGAAAAGTGGTATGTGTATAGTTGTTGTGGTGTTGTCAGGGGGATATGATGAGGCAGTTGTGTTGAGGTAGAGGTGATGAGGCAGTGGTGAGATAAATTAGATGAGGTCGCTGTAGTTTGGTAGATGAGGTGCAATGTTCCCTCTAAGCTGGGGGGTTGCGCGGCCACGCAGTAGTTTTTCTAAAATAAATATATCCTTGTAGAAGACTTTTAGAACACCGCGCACAGAAAATGCATTTTGCACATTAGCTTTTCCCCTTAGAGGTGAGATAGTTGTTATGAGGTAAAGGTGGTGAGACGAGTGATACAGGCGGTAAGGTAGAGGTAGGTAGAGAGTTGCAGTTGTGTGTTTGATGTTGTGAAATGGTGAGGTAGGATGGTGAGGTATTACAGCAGCGTACGTCCTTCAAATTAAAACGTAGAACCATGAAGGGGATGGGGTCTAGACGGCGACGCTCGCATTTAACACGGGCACAAAGAAAATCTGGAAACCCGACGCCATCTTTATAGGCGTCACGTGATCGGGCGTTAAATCGCCGTTTGATGGCTGTTGCGTGCTGTTCCCGTCCTCTTAGATCTGCTGACACACAGCAGACGATACCGTGCAGACGTCAACGATACAGAAGGAGCGCAACTTTTCAACAGAGATGTACATCACAACCCGACCCGACCTCCATATATCTTCCCTCCATACTCCGATTTTGTGTCCTACTACGTCAAACGAAATTATGTCAAGGTCTATTAATAAATATATCACTAGAAAATCACTTCGGTCACACAACTCGTGTTTTTTTTTTTTGATTTGATTACCGAAAGTCAGAAACAAGTTATATTTCAATATTTCTGCAATATTTCTGCTAGAGATTTAGAGAGCCGAACTTTATGCACTCGGGGTAGTAAAAACAAGATCAAACAATGTTTCGGCTGCAGTTCTCTCCCCCCCCCCTCCCCCCTCTTTTTTTATGAACTTTTGTTACAAAACTCTATTTATTAAGCTTAACACAGTTTTAGGGGTCGTCGATAAAGGGGCCGAACCTAACTTAATTCACATTTTACTCTTTATCCCTAATCTCCCTCCCCCCTCTTATTGTTGTAGTCCAAAGTCATTATGGAGCAACTTTTCTTCTCTTTACTTACAGTAGTGCACTGTATGTACATTGTCGTGTACTTGACTACGTCACAAGCCAGAAAGAGTTATCTCGCTTTACGGCAGCCCGGACATGGACGGGGAGAGAACTACTGTTTTAGTACAAAATCGTAAACCATTTTTGACGAGGCTCGGATTGTCGCAAATGTGACACGAACGATACGTAACGCAGACGCATCGAAATCTGGACTGTCCTCGCCTATGTGGGTCACTATGTTAATGAGACACGTGGTGTTGAATTGTGGGTCAAATGTGCCGTGTGAAACTTCAGGGAATAAAAGGTTTCCAAAAATGTAAATAACGCATACAAGAAGAATAGAGAAGAGATTTGGTTTTAATAAAAGAGTTGTTTTTAGGGGCGTGCTTAGAGGCGACAAAAGGTTAATTGTATTTTTATGATAAAAAACCAACTGAACATAATAGTACCGAAAAAAATTGGTTTACGTTAGAATTAATTAGATTAGAATATTGGGGAATACTGTGGGAAAAATCTAAGTCCGTAACAAGACAAAAACAAAATTTAAAAAAAAAAAAACATGCGGGAATTCCCGTAGCGCTGAGGGAAAAAAGCGGAGATTCCTGGTAGGTGTAGAGAGCGTAAAAATACAGCGAGAAACGTGTACGGCGTTCTTTATTGGAATGATGATAAATTAGAAGGTAATGTTACCTGGTGGAACTACGGCTACAGGTGTACAACATTAGGTTTTGAATTCAACGTTTCCTTGTCCCCTATTTTATGAGTTGTTAGATACCGACGGTGTGCATTGGTTCTGGTAGGTGGAGTAAAAGTGGTGATGGATGGTAGATGTTAAAGATGCACCAGCCGAGGGACGCTGGATAGAGGGTCATCCATAAATGACGTCACGTTTGTTTGACGATTCGTACCTCCCCTCCGTCATGCATCGTCACAAAAAGACAGACCCCCCCCCCCCCTAATATGACGTCAACCCCCCCCCCCCAAACTGCATTTGAATTTTTCTTAAAAAAATCGTCACACCATCTGAACCCTCTCCCCCTCATCACACACTGTCACAAAATTACGGACCCCCCTCCCCCTGACGAGTGTGACGTCATTTATGGACGACCCCTAGGGTGAATGAACTGTTGAAGCACTTACCGAGACCAGAGCTGTATTCTCCGATAAACCTTTTTGTCAGGTACCTCACTGTGATGGCTGGAAGTAAAGGATTGGCTGGTGTCAGGTATTTTTATCTCTGATTTCATTTAATGTTAACAGAATGTCAATTAATGTCAACTCATGTCAAGTGATGTCAGCTATTGTTATCTCTGATGTCATTTAATGTTAACAGAATGTCAATTAATCTCAACTCATGTCAAGTGATGTCAGCTACTGTTTCCTCTGATGTCAGTTAATGTTAACAGAATGTCAATTAATGTCATCTCATGTCAAGTGATGTCAGCTACTGTTATCTCTGATGTCATTTAATGTTAACAGAATGTCAATTAATGTCAACTCATGTCAAGTGATGTCAGCTACTGTTATCTCTGATGTCATTTAATGTTAACAGAATGTCAATTAATGTCAACTCATGTCAAGTGATGTCGGCGGCACATATCTTTAACTACACACATGGTCAGCGGAAAGACATTAACTAACTGCACTTAAAAATAAGTACACTAAAAGGTAATCTAAAATCTAAAATGCACCGTCAGTTGTGTCATAAAGAACATCATAATAATTAACAAAGAAAACGGCCTTCCTCATTTTTTAAAAGTAGAATTTAAAAAATAAATAAATAAATAAAACTTACAATAACATTTCGACAAATCTGGTTTATACCAAAAGAGAACTGACCTGATTTACCGACTCCCTTGGCACCAAGAATATTAATTCGTAAATTAGCGTAAGTGGTCTTCATTATCTGAAAATCAAGTAGATTATTGTAAACATTTAGAATTCTTGCATAAACAAACGTAATCTTTGCTTGCAAATATTGTCCTAAATTGTAATTAACTAATTATCTGTTTAAACTTAGCCGCTGATTTTATCTAAATAGCTTGACTATAGTATACTGTGGCTTTTCTTTTTCATTCTTCTCTGTAATATTGGGGTGATTTTCCTTCTTTATTGTTTGCTTCCGAAGTCTTTTGTACAACCAACAACAATGTAGTTGTTTGATTTTAGAGTTCTCAATTTCTGCTTTTTGGGGATATGAGTAATTTTTTAAATAGTTTGGTTGTTGTTGTTGATTTTTGTCTCCGGTTATTCAATATTTAATGTTTTCTTTGTCGAATTTTTTTTCCATTTTTTCCTGAGAAGATTTCATCTCATAACGATCGCCTTCACGACAAAAAGTGCACGGGCGAAAAGTTAAGACCCGTCACTTGTGGTCTATTTCTGATGTCTAGACATTTGAATATTTAAACTTTAAACGAACGCCATAAAAGCAAAACATCGGTTTCTAGGGTTAGGGTTTTGGGGTGAGGGTTGGGGTTGGGGTTAAATGTACCAAAATACAGACCTTTTCGTGGAAATTATTAATGACGATTATGAAAAAGAGGATACGATCCCTACACTTTTAGATGTTATTGAAGAGGGTGAAATAGTGACATGAGACATCTCATAAAATTTAAAAAGGCAAGCTTCACAACCTCTTTTAATAATCTTTTCTTGGACTGCGGGGATTAATTTTTTGGCGGGGTTTATCTAGACAAAATCCGCAACATTCTTTATGTTCGCTAATTTCTATTTTACATTCTACATTCATAATAATCATTTATCAAGGGACGATATCTATAACTATGTTACGAATCTTTGTTAGAAATATAAGAAAACATAAAAGAAACAACATAAATAAGGGATTCATTATTTGTTATTTTACTTTTATATCTTATTTCGAAATTGATCTACTCTATGCACACCATGAATTTTACTTTATAATTATATTTCGATGCTAGTCGAAATGGAAAACTATTAGCGATTTTAAATACACAACGTGTAGAGGTGTTTACAGTTCAAAAACAGCAATGCTTGAAAAAACTTCAATGATTCTAGCCGTCCTTCTCTAAGAATACAATTTTTTTTAAATTATAATTATAAGATTATACGACAAAAGCGCCGACTCATTAAAAAAATGTCTCTGGTGAAAATGTTTTATCGAAGATGTCCATTTCAACAAACAGACTTTGTTTCACACGGGTTAAACTGGTAGGCACCGGAATCAAAACAATTACCTTAAATAAGTCCGTACTTTAAGATTATGTTTAAAGTTTAACAACGTTAAAGATAACTTACTTCGTACGCCATTAATAGAGCACTATCCTAGCTGAAGAACACCCAGTGCATTGATAAACGTGGACTCGTATATGTGACGCTAACACTTTAAGTCTAGCTTAAGATCAACTACAGTGTTACTTCCGATCGCCTCTAAAGTACTATAAAGTTGTAGGAACTGACAATAGGATTTCAGATTCTGAGAGATGGTACGAAACACTTCAACACAGTATGAGCGAAACTGTTTTTTTTTTTTGTTCAATGTCGCGATGATGTAAGGGAGACAAGTAGAAAAAGGAGGGCGCTAGTCGCCATTAAAGGGAGGCGATTCAGCCGGAGCGCAGGCGGGTGGATTGTCTAGACTTGACAGCTGTCAATATTTAAAATAGCAGTGTACACACAGACGCCAAAACAATAACAGCAAAACAAGGTCGGCGGTCAAGGCGATGTTACGTCAACTCAAGGCGGTGTTACGTCAACGGTCAAGGCGGTGTTACATCAACTCAAGGCGGCAGCGTACCCGTTTTCTTAAATATGGTGGGTCAATATTTTTATACAGAGAGCTTGACATCAATTGAGTTTCTTGCGAAAGATTTTTTTAAAAAATTGAAGTTTACATTTTGAAACTTATTTTAGCCTCAATCAAATTTTCGATTTAATTAATTTAAGCAATAATCGTCAAACTTTTGGAGTGTAATCTTATATTAAAAAAACCGCAGAAACTTTTACAAATCAAATGCTGTTCTCCACTTTAAAAAAAAAAGTATAGCCTACGTTGTTGTAAATAATTAATAGAGCAGCGTTCGTTATTTCAAAGAGTAGCGTAAATTCATTCTAAAACGCCACAGGTAGCTCAGAAAATCCAAGATTTCACTGTATGTATTAGAATTCCGTGGGGCGGCGGGGTTAGATGGTAGAACCTACGACTGCTATTGCGAAAGTCTCGAGTTCGAATCATGGACTAATATCAGTTGAATGCCTCAGAGTTCACTCACGTCAGGGAAAGCAAAGGCGGCCGAGATCACAGAAACAGGTGAACTCTACTTCACCTGCCCGATCGAGCGTCAGAGTCGAAAGGGTACTTTACTTCTTTTTAGAATTCTAGATTCGGATTGCAATGCAATAACAAGAGAATTGGAGGGAGGGGGGTCGGGACAGCTATGCTGATTAAGAAACTTTTGGCGGAAGTGAGGTTTTCTGTGGTCCTGGACGCACCCTATATCTGTCACGGGGGACAGCCGTTTTCAGTTAGACGTACCCCCACTATCGAATCACTGCCATAGCAGTCAACAGCAAGTCTATTCTTCAACATTAAACCTACACACAAAACAAAATTTTATCAGCTAACCCAAAGCATTTTTATTGAGGTGCGGCTAATTGGAAAAAAACATTTATAATAGCCTGCTCTGTTTGTCTTGGCAGGAATATGGGCTGGCGTCTTGTTCGGTTTTTAAGTCACCAGAATATTTATATTCTTTTCGTTCAGGTACTGTCTTCGTCGTCGTCGTCGTCCCCCCCCCCCTCCCCCCACCTCCTCGCCCTCCTCCGCCTCCCAATTGGAAATTTCGAACAAAAACAAGTCAAATCAGGCCTTTTTTAACCAGACGTTATCTATTGGTTACGTCGTGTTTTAAATAAAGTTGTCTTTTCAAAAAAAAAATTGAAAAAAAAGGTAATAAAACTGGAAGTAATCAGGTCAAAGTGTGTTTACAACAGAACGTGTTTGCCCTCAATGCCGGTATCTGTCCAATAATCCTTCGTGTGTCAGACTTAATTCCTAACCAAACAATCAAGGCGAGCTTTTTGGAAAACTGGCAACCTCCAACCTGGCCGGTTGCTCGAGTCAGGTCGGGTAGACAGTTATTGCCAGCTTGGCTCTTCACTGCTGGCACGATTGGAAAACAATACATTTTATCAGCGCTATCACGGTGATATGGGGCTTTTTTTTTATAAAAAAATCTGGCTAACTATTACACAGATTTTTTTAAAATGTATGGCTGAAGTGGAGAAATGGAGAGATAGCCTTGGTGTGGTTGGGTCGAGGTCATTACTATCGTGTTGGTCATTTGAGAAAAGTTAGTGTTCTATCGGATGTGTAGGGTTAATACATGACTGTGTAGTCACAGATGGTCAAGTCAGGCTGACCAGCGGCGAAAATTGATTGACCAATGCTAAAAAAAATGACAAATGGTAAGAAACAATGACCAAAATACTGACTTTTAATAAGCATTAACCAATGGTTAGATACACTGATCAACATACGAAAAACTGACCAAGGGTATGAAACACTGACCAATGGTATGAAACACTGACCAATGGCATGAAACACTAAAGGTGAGACACTGACCAATGGTATGAAACACTGACCAAGGGTATGAAACACTGACCAATGGTATGAAACACTGACCAACGGTATGAAACACTGACCAACGGTATGAAACACTGACCAATGGTATGAAACACTGACCAACGGTATGAAACACTGACCAAGGGTATGAAACACTGACCAATGGTATGAAACACTGACCAATGGCATGAAACACTAAAGGTGAGACACTGACCAATGGTATGAAACACTGACCAATGGTATGAAACACTGACCAATGGTATGAAACACTGACCAATTGTATGAAACACTGACCAACGGTATGAAACACTGACCAATGGTATGAAACACTGACCAATGGCATTAAACACTGACCAATGGTATGAAACACTAAAGGTGAGACACTGACCAATGGTATGAAACACTGACCAATGGTATGAAACACTAAAGGTGAGACACTGACCAATGGTGTGAAACACTGACCAATGGTATGAAACACTAAAGGTGAGACACTGACAAGTGGTGACACACACTAACCAGCAGTGAGCCAGACAGGAAAACATGTTGACCAGTGGTGTGACAGGTTGAGCTGACATGACAGTCTACTGACCGGCAGTAAGACCGTGTGATCTTTTATGTCACATGATGATGACATGTTTGACACTGACGGATCAATATTTAAAATGTCTGACCTATATGTTACGTAACAAAACTGGGCAGTTTAAAAAAAACACAACAGCAGTTGTATCAACAACACTTGACAAGGGCAAATAACTCAGTATCTTTTTCTTCTTCGTTCTTAAATGTAATATTGGAGGGGATTTGCTCCCAACACAATCAAACATTACGTGTCAACGTTTTAATGATTTGCGCCAGTTAACTTCGGTCATCTTTATTGTTAGTTTCACCTCAATTACGTTTCTCCAAGAACATGATACAACAAGGCGGCAGTTGTAACTTGTTTGATGGATTGCTGTCCCCAGCTAACGAGCCTCACCTACGCGGGGTCCGAACTCGAGACTTTATGAGTTGGCCTTCACGCTGCAACCAGCTATCTCCTGCCTCGACCATACCGTCCCCTACCCCGAATGAAATCTCATTAATATGCTACCAATAATTATATCCATATTTTAATTTTAAAATTGATTTTAAATTCTAACACTCACACCAGTATGGAACTACTTGCTAGATACATGCGCAGACGAAGCTAGCAGACGTCATTCTGGTCACCGCCAGACGACCACGGCGTGGCAGTCGTTTGTTGACACGCCGCCATATTTTATTGACACAATGTGTTGTCATGAATCCAATATGGCGAGACGAGTTACGCCGCTTTCTCTTTGAACACTTGTTTTCACTGTCTGTCGACTATGTTATTTTCAGCGCGCGAACCGCTCATTTTGGGGCTGTCTGCTGCTATTTTTTCTCCACTGGCTTTCTTGAACGCCATACGCGTTTGTGTGTTTAAGAAAACTCAAAAATGTCGCCGAAAATGTCGCAGTAATTTGTAAACTAATCTGCCAACAATATTACGTGTTGTAACATTTGGACTTGGCTTTGTTTTTCATCGATTTCGTGTCAAAGTTATCGTTTAGAAATTTTCTCCCAACATTTGAATGGGAGATGGCATTATTGGTGTTATGAGTTGAACAGCGGTCTGGTGATGCCTTATACTAGTGAACTGTGTACAAATGTTTAACAATTCTTATAGCGTACCCAAGAAACAATTCCTTGCGGGTACTTTAAGAGAAATAATTATCATGTCTAGTTTGTAGATGTTGTTGCGAAATTAAGGTTAAGATGATGTCTAGTTAAAGCGTAGGCATATTATGTATAAGTTGTTGGCGAGAGATGCTTCACCTATGGGCTCTTCTCAGTAGCAACAGCAACATTTTGTTTCCAATGTGAATCGATAAGTTAGTTGTGCGCATGATCAAATCAAATTGTAAGTTTAAAAAGTTCAATGGATGAAGCTACTTACCACGAATCTAACCAACAAATGCTGTAGTTCACCAGGCTGATGAGTATCTACGGTAGGGCTTGATCTCACTTAGACTTGCAACAGTTCATGTAAGATATCCAAGAGTAGTGGATCTTTGTCCCTTTCTTTCATTGTGTACAGTCCTTTGCCCATTGTTGAAGAGATTTATAGTCTGTCAATAAGGCGAAAATACAGTAGTCTTGTTGTGATGTATGGATGGAACACTTGTTTCACTGTTAAAAAAAAACATTAACAAATTATCGTTTGTAGTACAATTACTACATTGATATTAATGTTTGAACAAATAAAAACAACATATTTAATTATTATTTTGCTAAAAATACAGGTCTATATGAGGAAATGAGAACCAGCCTCACATTATTATAATGAAGTATGTCTTTTCAATTGCAATAGGCTACCATATGTTTATTATAGCACAGCAGTTTGGGGCATGTGTCTATCCACAGCTTCGTACGTTTCAAATCCTTCGGTCAAAGGGATGTCGCGTGCACCCCCTCCCCTTCAATCCCATCACCACCACCCCACCCTAAAGAATTACAAAACTAGAAACATTGATAAAAAAATTGAATCAATCATTTGTTCGTAAGCTTGGTACTACATATAGGTAATAAAATATTTACTACTTTCCTCCATTGACTAACTTAGTGTCTTTTTTAATTATATAAACACGTATCCAATTAAGTTTCTTAGTCGTGATTAACCGACTGGCCTCTTTTGCAATGCAATATTTCTGACCTTGACCATTGCTTAAGTCCACGGGTTTATATCAAAGCAGATATATCAAAACAAACAGGGAAATAAAACCACGCTACATTAGCTCACGAAGAAAGAAAAAAAATGTAATCCTACTGTATAGACGCCTGTAAGCTGCATATTTTTAAAAGCCAAAACTTTGAACACTTTCCTCAAAAAGTATTCACGTCACTTGAAATTTTCAGCCATTTTTCACCTTTATTGTAAGAGACTGACAGCGACTCCTCATTTATTTGGTGGTGGAGTCATGCAGGCGACGCGATTTGTTGTGACGCCACTGCCGTCCATTCATAAACTTGCAGCACCCCCGGGGCTCGAGAATTAGCAGACGCGGGGGGCACGGGGACGTCAAAATCTTCATACGAGAGCTAATCGCCCGCTGTCTTCAAGTCGCGAGTGATTTACTGCACTTGCAGCTAATTTTGCTCTATTTTGGCGAGGATCAGTTTTTTTCTAAGAGGTATCAAAGGTGAAGTATGGGATGGGAGGGGGCGGGGGAGGTTGGGGAAAATTTAAGATTACATGGAGAAGGAATAAACGGGTTCAAAGGACGTTTGCATTTTCAATTGGTTGGAATACTCAGACAAGTATTTTAAGAAGTAATATATTTCTTTAAAATTAATATTTCAAGATTTTGCGGAGGCACAGATTTTTAGTGGCAAAACTATTTCAAAACGTAATAAAAAGCCTTATAAAATAGCTTTACCAGACCGTACCCGATATCGACACTCTACACGTCTATGATTCGGCTTGATCAGCTTCTTTCTTAATTGTGAAGTGGGACGGGGATGTCATCTTACACAGTAAAGTCTAACATGTTAGCCTGTTATTTTAGACTGGTTTTTTTTTTTTTTTTTTTTTTTTTTTGGACTTGCTTCGTTAGCCTCATCCAACCAAGACAATCTTCAAGGCAGCAAGGTTTAAGTTAGGAGTTGTCTCTCCTAGAAGAGTTGCTACCCCTGCCGTCGAGCCTAATCTACCCGAGGTTAGAACTTGGTATTTTCGGCTCAGCAGCCCTGAGCTCACCGGCCCCCGACCACGGCAACACCTTGCTAAAGCTAGAACACTGTGTATTAACAGCGGTATTGTTGTATGGAACAGATGAGCTCTACTTCACCTACACTATTTACCATAACCCGAAAGGGTAACTTAACTAAACTCTTGAAGGCCTATAAAAGTAAAAAAAAACAATGTTTTTTTTTCTCTGTAGAAAAATTAAGTTTTTTTTTTTTTAAATATTCGATTAATTTAAAACTCTTTTATTTTAAAAATGATCTGGGAGAAACAAAATACCTGCATATTTTAAAAACTCGACAGGCGTTTAAATTAGACCCTCCCTCTTCCCCCTCCCCTCCCTCTCTCTCTCTTCACATTAACTGTTGGCCGATTTTATCCAGCTTCTACTTGACTTTAGAACATTGAATGAATTTCACCTGTACGGACTGTGTGTATAGCGGGTATCACGTGGCCCCCCACCAGTGACCGTAAGTGCGCCAGCTACATGAAGGAGAAATCCATACCGAATATAGTGGCGCCCCATCAGGGGAAAGGGACATCTACGCCTCAACTTTCAGCCTTATGTGACGCGGGGTTGTGACGCGGGTTTGTGACGCGGGGTTGTGACGCGGGGTTGTGCAGTGGCCCAAGTTGACTGGATTGTTTAAACAATGTCAGGTCACATTAAGTCCAGCTGACTTAGCGTCGCTAGGCTTTGTTGTACAGCTTTATTTTCTGACTCGGCGTTCGTTCAGCCGATTTAAGCCATTCAACATTTTAAAAACCCCGAAAGTAAGGGAGATCAGTAAGTCTGGTCTGAGGTAACTCTGCTTGTTTTTTTTGTTTTTTTTTTTGTTTTTTTTTTCAAGAACAAGAAAACAAAAGTTGATTTAAAATTAGCTTAGAAGGAATCTGTTTTCAGATACGAAAATAACTCATGAAGTCAAGCAATCTGGTAAAACATAGTTTTGTTAACGATTTGTCTTACTCTTCTAGATGTATGAAACAATGTAAACAGTATGTACAGTGGCAGGGAATATTTTGGATGAAATGGGTTGTTTCATCTTTACGCGAATCGAAATATAAAATATTTAAAGTATGCAAGGTGTTTTGTATTGTATTTGCTCGTGATCAGAAATAGCACGCGTAGTTTACAATAATTTAAAACGCACGATAAATCCACAGACGTCAAAAATTGGTCTACACTTGTTTAACTGTTTTGGGAGACGAATGTCAAAAGTCTGCCAACGGAGGCTCAATATTGTGCCTGGACATCCCATCCAAAGAATTTTTTTGTTTTAAATCCGCTTAACAAATCAGTTACATCATTAGAAAAAAAATTATGTGGAGTTCTATTCTTCATAGTGGGTTTTTTTCGACAAAGTCACAATAATGTCTTTTGAAAAGATAATTTATAGGTTACATATTGTAAAAAGTTGTCAAAAGTCGCTTGATCACCTAACTCAAATTTAAGGTCTTCCTTACTCAGAGCCTAATGCGCCAGTTTTTGGATCATCATTGGCGCTTTTAATTTTAAGATAGTAGCTAGGTCAATAACATTGGTATTCTTAGCAGGGAGGTAAATAAGTGGTATTTCCAGTAGTTAGTGAAATAGAAGTGGTATTTCCAGTAGTAAGGGAAATAGAAGTGGTATTTCCAGTAGTTAGTGAAATAGAAGTGGTATTTCCAATAGTTAGTGAAATAGAAGTGGTAATTCCAATAGTTAGTGAAATAGAAGTGGTAATTCCAGTAGTTAGTGAAATAGAAGTGGTATTTCCAGTAGTTAGTGAAATATTAGTGGTATTTCCAGTAGTTAGGGAAATAGAAGTGGTAATTTTGACAGCTATGGAAATAGAAGTGGTATTTCCAGCAGCTAGTGAAATAGAAGTGGTATTCTCCTAGATGTGTACGACCGACACACCAAGCTACCACACAAAAATGTGAGACCCGCTGCCCTAAAGCATCCCGCAACTTACGGCCCCTTACGCGACAACATATTTGTAGATTGAAATTGTAGAGCTGGAAAAATGTCAATATTTTAAAGACTATAAATCACGGGGCGCGGAGAAGAAAGGATGAGGCGAAACAAGAATCTCGGGCGTTCGTTGGGGTATTGTTCGGGGGTTGTATACCTACCAGTACGGTGAATCTCCCGATGTACGCCAACCCTCGCCTCGCCTCATTCAAAGAGAGTAGGCGATTTTTTTTAACACTTTGTGAAAAGAATTTTAAAGTAGTATTTAACAGAACGGGATACATTTGAAAATTATATAGTTTTTTATGTTTCTTTTATGTTATTTTATAAAAAGATATTTCGGCTTAGCATATTTACCTTTCAATATCTAAAGAAATATTCGACTTTCGTTAAAATTATGTTTAAAATGTTTTTAATAACGTAATATAAACTTAAAAAAAAAACATAACATTAGTTAGAACAGGAAAAAGATAATGTGCAACGTGTATTTTGTGTGTAAGGTGTTCTAAAAGTCTTATACACGGATAGATCTATTTTATAAAATGAATGCGCGGCAGTTAAAAACTACCTCGCGGCCGCGCAACCGCGGAACTTAGAGCTAACATGGGGTCGAACCAACAGTTCGTTCGCTAGAAATAACAAATCACACAGGCCATAGATCGGCAACTTTTTAAAACTTTAGAATACGGTCGTACTTTTAACAGTGCATGTCTTGGGGTTTAGGATCGAACTTGAGGCTATCATTATCGATGATACTATCGATTTGATTTTCACAAGACGGCCTGTATGTGTTCTGTTCACATTAGATGTCCCTCTTGAGTTGATTTAACCACATACTGTTGTCCACATGAAGTATATTTGTTACAGTACATATGTTTTCTTTTGTGGATATCTACTGTCGTATTTATTTCTTTGTCAGCTATAGGTGTCATTGTGTCATATTGTTATCAGGTGGTGTCATAATGTCAGGTAGTTGTCAGGTGGTGTCATGGTGTCAGGTTGTTGTAAGCCGTTAGGTCGGTGTTTCAGCACTGCTGACTGGGTCTGACCGTCTGACCACGGGGTACTGAGGTTAACGTCCACACGAGGCAATGCGATACCGACTTATCAGTAGTTTACTGTAAACCCCTCACTCCTCCCACCCCTCCCCCTTTTTATACAGTCACGTGACTACATCATCATGCTTTTTTAAAAAAGAAATACATCTAGATCTAACAGTTGATTAGTTTAAAATTGTTTTCACTCGCAAAACATGTTTCACATGGTAACATTGTATTAAAGAATCAAATACAATTAATTAATTTGTCTAATGTGTATTCAAATAAGCCGAGCAAAAAATAAACCTTTGTTTAAGAATTTCAAATTAATTAACAATCTCAAATTAATTATTAATACGCGCCCAACATTATCTTTTTTTAAGTTAAAAAAATAATCTTTAAATCAAATTTAAACAATAACTTTAACCTGTATAGTTACAATATCATGAATATGTATAGTTACACTACCCCCTTCATATACCTAGGTCTCTGAAACAGATGAACTCTACTTCATCTGCCCAATGTGTCTTAGGAAAAGATGATGATAGTTACTAGTTACAAGACACAGTTCACAATTGCCATTTAAAAATAATTTTTTTCTTGTTAAATTATTCTTCCTCCATTATAGTTTACTGCATCTCTTCGTGTGGCCTACTATAGACTATGCAATGTGTCAGTGGTGCATCAAAGTAGGTTTTTTAGTTCAAAGTGAAAATACAAAGCCACGACCGGCTAATATCATCGGCAAAAGTACAATGTAAATACAATTTTAACTCTGTTTCAGAATGTAAACAATAAATTGAGCTGCTTAAGAGACTGCTTAAAGAACGGCAACTACTGTTTTATGTTAACATAAGCCCACCCCTCTTTTCCTTCCACCTTCTTCAAATAAAAAAATCCGTGTTTATTAAGATATATTTGACACAAATTTAATCACATCCTTACCTTAGAAGAAGAAGAAAAAAAACGTAGCCTAGATATCCCAAACAAGTCAGTCACCAGGATTAGCCTTGGTGTCTCGATCGTTCCTCCTTTACCCAGTGGCACCTCTAGAGTTCTGTCCCCTGACTGAACGACTCGCGTGCCGTTAGATTGCTCTCCCCTTTTTCCTACCGCGACCGTCACCTGTCCCAATGGGGGCACGCTGGCTGACCCTGTGAAGGGAGGGGGGGGGGCGGTATTGTTGACAAAGCTTTCTGCTTGGTCTGCTTCTTTCTTATACCATCAGCTGGAGGTTTGACCACGGTGACCTGTCCTTTATTGGTCGTACTTTTTTTTTTTTAAACGTTCTTTCTGCTGTTGTCAGACAAAGTTGATGCTGATTAACATAGAAGTCATAGAAAAAGTTTACCTTAATGTAGAACATAGTCCTAAAATTATTATTATACCTTTAGCTGTAGGAATATATAGGCTACTGTTAGGGACAACGCACACATTTTGTTACGACATTAATCTATGGCATATAGTCCTAGCATCAACAAACAGGAACCTTAATCTTGAATATAAATCACAAGTTAAACCATGACCTTACTTTAGCCTATGCCAGGTAGATTTGTCTTCAGCTAACGGTGCTTTTAAAAACACTGACAGGTCTTATCAGAGTATCACCACCCTAGCTAAGCCCTGACTACATCAATATACCTGACTCTAAGCTAAAGCAACTCCATATCTATGTGGCTTGCCTTAACATTGATATCCATTTCTAATCTGTTAACATGATCATGGCCATAATATCAATACAGGCAAGAAAAAAATATCATTACGATATGGTGGCGTTTTTTTAAAATCAACTTAACCCTAACTCTAACACGCAAACTGTTAAAACGTGACATTTAAGCATTACCACACTATACTATAGCCCTTAACTAACCTAACCTTGTGGATGTGTACGTCTAACCCAACAGTTCCTAAACTCTTCAACGAATGTTTTACTCTTTGTTTCGTACCTTACACTTTACACTGCGGGATGTCTGAGTTAAATAAAAACTTGTACTAAGCTGAATTGTAAACCGTATAAGCATGTGTTGTTTTTTTTTATATATAACAAGCAGCGTAGGTGCGATATATCAGCAAACACGACATAAAGCTGCTCCGATTACACAAGGCCGTGTGTTGTCGTTGGATGACGTCACTACACACACCTGTAACGGGCAGCAGTGCAGGCATGGGTCAAGATGACCCGTGGCTTGATGACCCTACCAGGTTTAGAAATAAAACAGTCGTCAACCCGGTCATTACTCACGGTTAATTTACCCCTCCCACGCCGTCTGCTTACCGTGGCTATCAACTAAAGCCCCCGTCCCCGTCCCACACACCAACACACACACACACCTGTTGATCGATGACTAATGCTGATCTAGCGAGTGACCAAGTTCTGTGAGGACACCGTCGTGTTGACCCCGGTAAAGTAGGTCACGGGTTGGAGTCCATTAACAATAAGTCTGTAAAACCGGACGGATGCTCTGAATGTAAAAAAAAAAAACGGAATTGTTATTGCTGCCATCATTACAACTACCATATAGACTACCACCCACGTAAAATAAGTTATTTTATTTTTATTTTTTATTCATATTGTTATTTTATGTTAGATTTACGTTCCTTTAAAGTTTAAGTTATTTTAATCTTAAGATTACCCACACAAGCTATTTAAAAAAAAAAAAAAGAAATATTCCTATTTAAAAGAAGAAAAAATGAGCTTTCAATCATACTCATTTGATATTTTATTTTTGGAATATTTTCGGTTTCTTATTTTTTACTTCTGATTGTTAAATCATGTCTTGTGTCTGTCTGACGTTTCAGTATCCATTTTTGAAAAAAATATTTACAGTTATTTTACTTTGATGAAAAAACTTACTTTGAACTTCTACACGAAGTGTCAATGTTTTGACTGTGGGATAGATTTTCCTCAAGCAAACCAACAACCGACTACGTAAGCTACCTTTAAAAAATGCGATTGTTTTGATTAGTTTATGATAAAAAAAAAATTCGTATTTTTAAAACGTCCTTTAAGAAAAATGGTCCAGACCAATAACACACGATATTAATTATATAGTGTGCAAATACTCTTCTTGTCATTCGTTTTAAATCTTTTAAAAATATGTTTTAAGAAACGAATTACTTTACTTTAAGATTTATGAATTCTTAAACCGTTGACCTAAGTCACTGACTTAAGTCACATCCGTTCTTGATCAGGTGTGCTTGTGACTGACGTTCCATACATGTATCGATAATGGTGCTAAGGTGTGTGTCTTCTTCTTCTTATTATTATTACCGTTCGTGCCCAAGAAACATGGGGCAGATGAAGAAGAATTCATATGATTCAATGACCTCGGCATTTGAAGGGATAGTGTGGTCAGCACTACACGTAGCTGCCTTTGTTTTCCTTACGTAAGTTAGGTACCCATCAGAGCTGGGTGGACTCAGGGACGTTCCACTGATTTCAACCTGGATTCGAACACGGGTTAGCTGCCTAGCTCTCTACCGCTAGGCCACGTCGTCCAATGTGTTTGTAGGTCCACACATTCTTGACAAATGTACGGACCAGTGGAGGGGAGGGAGGGCAAATAAAATCTATGATGTACCACATACGTCGAAAAGGGGGGGGGGGGGGGTGGGGGGTATAGATACAAAAGTTGCAAGTAAAGTATCGTAAAGTTGAATGTCAATTGTGTACTAGAAGATAATTATTATTTTTGCCATTAATGATCTCCCCTACGAGATTTCAACGAACTGTATTTCCATGCAAGAATGTGTACTGAATATTGCCAAATTTTATTATTTTCCCAAACAAGGTTGTATCAATGAAAAATGCCATGCAAAAATGCACAGCGAATTCTAAGGTGTTATTTTCCTAATAATATTCCTCACCAAGGTTGTAGGAATGTAAATTTAAGAGAAAGGGGTTTCGTGGAGGTGCATTGTTTAAAAAAAATGTATGATATTTAGGTTAACCCGTAATTATAATAAATTACCGCTAAACATATGGATGAATGCATAAACAACTCACACATTTTTTTTTCTATTTTAACAGTTGTTGGTTCCCGCAGGGTGGGTTGTGGCAGACGAGATCGTTTACACTGTAGACAAGGACGGTGTTTGACACCTCTCCCCGGGTTGTCGGGTGGGGGAGTGGACGTGGAGAACAGTTCATTAAAACAACACGATATTTCTGGAATGTCACCTGTACGGGGGTCCCCTCCATGGGATTCGGCATTCCCGGAATACCTTCGACCCGAGGTCATGCATGTTAGTTGATCAACCCTTCGTTGTTTGGGTCACTACTGAAGCGAGCGTGTGACGTCGAGTCAGCAGTGTAGACTGGGTCTCGTGTGGGCTTCGGGGAATTTCCGTTCTTTTAGGGATTGATCCGATTAATTTTCTTTTTTTTTTCTTCTGAAGAATGGCAATAGGATTACTTAGAACTCCACAGGAGGGGGGGGGGGGGGGGGTGTCAAGAAATGTCATGGGGGTGGTGGAAGGGACGTCTCAGAAAATAGATTTGAAAGCCTGAAGAACAAGGATTCGAGTGTAGTCGGAAACACACACGAAGACAGGGAATTTAAAAAAACACTGAAAAATCTGTGCCCCTCTTTTCCATTCTCATTTTTCAAGCTGTGCCTGTTACCTATTTTATGGTTCTTGACTGGGTGTGAATACGATAAAATACCAACCGAAATGTATATAATGAAAATTGATTTCAATTAATTGTAAATGCTGTTCTATTATTATGGAGCAGTGTATTTGTGTGGTGTTGTCCAGATCCGCTACATCGAACTGATTGGACGAGAGGTACCAAGTATCTGCTCGTCCATAGTTCAGTAGCAGGATCTGGTGTGGACTGATGAGACTTCTGGGAGGTTTTGTTGACCGTTGGACTTGATATTGACCTGCATAACTACTTTAGAGTCGAAGAGGTCCGGCGCTGAATCATCTGATTGGTCTATGGCAGAGGCGTAGCGACCCTTCCCGGGCCCGGGGACAAACTTTCGCTTTGCACCCCCCCCCCCCTCGAACTTTTGATTTGCACCCCCCCCCCCCTCAAACTTCTCAATTTGTTTTTCCAACCCATTTTGGCGCCCCCCTTAAGGTCGGACATATGTCCCGTCACCCCCCCCCCACCCCCCCACCTCCTTCGCTACGCCTCTGGTCTATGGAGATGGTCGTCTTGGTTGCTGAAAAGGGTGGGGGCCCATGATTTCGTTAAGCCACCTGAACCGTAGTCCGGGTGGCTCCTTTCCGTGGCTCTCCCGGTGTATTTTTTTTTCCTGTATATTTTTTTTTCTACTTTTATTTACAATAAAACAAGTTACAACATATTTTACAGTAATCAAGAGAATGCTAGAATATAAAGATGTCAAACTCCTTCTCTCTATAATAATCCAGTTTGGAAATATTCCATATTCCAAACAATAATACCGGATTACAGTTTTTTCTTTTTATTTTAAATTAAAAGACATCGCCATATATTCCCCACTGACCTTAAATGGAACTTTCACAAAATGTACAAATTATGATATCAATATAATTTTTGGTTTTCTATCTAAACACCAGTTAATTCATAACTGTATTCCTTAATAATGATAAATATTACTCAAATTTTACATGCCAGTGTCAATATTCATATTTTATCTGATAATTTTTAAACTCTCAAATTTTGTTAAAATCAACAATGAACTTCTCTGTGGTGTTTTGAGAACATTGTAGTAGGTTATTTCCCCTTTTTTAAAAAAAAACTGAATGGTAAGTAACGTAGAATTCATTTTAGAATGACTATAACAATAATAGCAAGCGGTTTGTGTAGAAAAGTAGAAAACAAAACGATTTTCTTTAAATACAATAATGCTTAACTATTTTATATAGCTGAATAGAAAAGCGTGGGTCACTATACTAACTATTGAAAACGTTAAGAAATCAGTTGGTACAACTCTAATAAGGATTAATATGCATACTCTACGTATAGACCAACTTATATATATATATACATATACGAGAAAAATGGCCCGTTGAGGAAGGATACAACGGGCGCTAGGTTGATAGTGCTGTCTCTTTTCTCTAAACTAAAACCAAAACCAAAATCACCACCTTCACTCAATTTAACCGGAAACGAAAAATGACATTGAAAACGGATTTTTATCCAGAATCTGTAGGCCTACTTTAATTTATACAAAATATAGTCATAGGCATATCCCTAAACCATGCACCTAATCTCATTCATGACAAAAGTCGCATTTAGAGTTTCTTTCAGGCAACTCTACTTGGGAGGAGGGGGCTAACCCCCCCCCCCCCCCCCACACACACCCCCCAAAACATGTCTACAGTCCCATTCAACGAAATATAATTATATAATTTTTCCAGTGTCCGCTCCCTCCAAGAAAATTCTACCCCCGCCCCCGAAAATTTCAAGTACCACCACCCCTCTCTGGGGAGGAAAAAGTCTGAAAGAAACACTGGTCGCATTTGTAGATCATACAAACTAAAGGAAGAATCTGGGCGGGGCTTCGCCCCTACCGGAAGAGAGGAAAAAGTCTGAAAGAAACACTGGTGTCGCGCTTAGCCACTACCCGAAGAATTGCATTAAAGAAATTGCAAGAAAACCACTTTTTAGATTAGACACATTAATTAGGCGGTAATTTTATCGATGAGGACATTTCTTTTGAGTTAGGGAGGGGGGGGGGGGGGGGGGCTCAGACGTTCTTACGCGGGGGTGGGGCTTCGCCCCTACCCGATGAATTGTATGAAAGAAACTCTTCACGCAAACCACTTAGATTAGACAAAATTGCTTTTTTTATGATAGAAACGTAACTTATATGTACAAAGAATTAGTCACTTCATTTCTTAACTACACTAGCTAGATCTAGATAAACCTTACATATTACGTTAATACAATGGAATTCTTTTTAAAGGGTTGAACCAGCGTCGCTAGGTCGGGTGTCACCAGGTGCGGCCCCTAATGGTGTCACCCTCCCCCTTTTTTCACTATAAATTTTGCACTTGTTTGCACCTCCCCCCCCCCCCCCCCCCACACACACATACACCCCCCAGTAAAAGCTTTAAAGTGTTAACATTTAATACTAATAAGGTTTATCTATAGTTGGCTGTAAGTACAGCTGGGTGTAACATTGTTTTTCTATAGTTTGCATGTTTACGTCATGGTCTCACCCCTTCACCCCCCCCCCCCCCCCTTGTCGGGATCATAAATTTGTATTTAAAATACTTTTTAACTCTAATTAATCATTCATTTACTTGGTAAATAAGTAAAAAATGAATTCTATATATATATTGCATTTTTTTGTTTGTTTTGGTGTCACCCCCTAAATGATGTCAGCCTTGTACTATTTATTTTCTTAACTTTTGCTGTAAGGGGTCGTCCATAAATGTCGTCACACTCGGAGGGGGGTCCATAATTTTGTGACGGTGTGTGATGAGGGGGAGGGGTTCAGATGTTGCGATGTCACACTTTTGCATTATAAAAAAAGCAATGTTAGAAAACGACTTTTAGACGTTGTTTTGCGTTTTAGGAAACTGTTTTAATAAATTGCAATAGGAATTGATTAAAATACTCTATTTTGACAGAGTTCAGACAAGATTTTGGAAAAATATCGATGTTTTAAGAAAAATTCAACTGCAATTTTGAGGGGGGGGGGGGTTGTAGGCTGAGGTGTGACGTCATTTTAGGGGGGGGGTGGCGTTTTGTGACGATGTGTGACGGAGGGGAGGGGGGAGGTAAAAATCGTCAAAAAAAAGCTTGACGTCATTTATGGATGACCCCCTAATTCAATATTGCGGCTTGAAATTAGCTATCAATTCTTATGTTTCTACCCCTTTAGGTCTAAATTAATACAACAGAAGCGTCTTTATTGTTATTTAGTTGAATTAAGAAAAGAAAGCTACTTGAAAGTACTTGAAACAGTAAGGTGGTTGGGTTACGAAATAAACTATTTCATATCAAGTCCAGTGAAAACGAAAACTTTTGGTTATTATTGCGGTTAAAATCGATAACTTGCATTGTTGTCAAAAGTTGTTTAGGATACCATGATCCAAAATGGCTGCCACCGAGGACTCTGAAATTCCAGGTATATTTGCATTCTACTTTATTAAGCATATGCATTACATTCGCTTCGAAACCCTATTTAAGAAAGTATTTTAAATTACAAGATGGCATTTAAAATTCATTTCATTTTACAATTTAATGTTTGATGCAGATTTTATATTGCAATAGATTCTAAATAAAAACCGAGAGTGAATCTCCCGCGTTTGGCAAACAAGTTCTTGAGTTGTTTACCTGTCGTGTGCAGTAGTTCTATTCTAGATCTAGATCTAGATAGAATCTAGATAAGATAGCTCTATTCTAGATCTAGGTAGATCTAGATTCTAGATCTTGTAAGAATCAGTGATCACTAGGTTAGATCTAGATCTCTAGAGTCTAGTTATTTTTTTTCTGATTAGATCTAGATCTAGATATCTAGATCTAGATTCTATGGGCCTAGACTAGTAGTTATCTAGATCTAGAATCTAGATTAGATTCTAGATCTAGTAGTAGATCTAGTAGTAGTTATTAAATTATTAATTATTTAATAATTATTGGGCTAATAAGTGCATTGAAATTAAAGATTTATATTACTTTGCAGCCTAACTTAGACTATATAATCTGTTTTAAAGAGGTAAAGCTTTAATTTACTTTAAAAATATCTTTATAAAAGTATCTAGCCTACTTTATATTATATAGTAATGTAATCTTTTTTTATCATCCATACATAACAGAGACCGGGGCTGTCTTCACATTTGGAAAGAGCAAATTTGCAGACAACATACCAAATAAATTCTGGGTTAAAAATGACAGAGTTCATCAGATTGCCTGCGGAGATGAACATACAGGTCTTATTGCTGGTAATGAACAATTTTTAAAAATTCTTTATCTATTTTTTAACATTGTTATTTCTGAAGTCTATTTATAAGATTACAAACTCCATCGTTACAGGCTATTTTTTCAAAACAAACTAATTTTCAATATATTATTATTATTTTTGCCCCCAGTTTTTAACTTTTGATCTCTTTGAACAGAATCAGGCAGAGTGTTCATGTTTGGACCAAATGACTGGGGACAACTTGGGCTAGATGATAACAAGGGTGTAAACAAACCTAGTTGTGTCAAGTGTAAGTTGTTTTTGATTTGCAACTAAACAAAAATTGAACACGTAATAATTAGTCTTATGTTTACAAAATATAATTCAAAATTTATTTAATACATGGATATTTTCTCAGCACTGAAGCATGAAACAGCAAAGCTTATTGCATGTGGGAGGAGTCATACACTTGTAGCAACAGGTACATATTTTAAATGTGCATTTGTATGCTATATGGAGTATACAATAAATTGTTTTTGTTTTTTTTTTGTTGTTTTTTTAAGTTCTTCGTATTTTTATCAATGAATGAGTATTTTAAAAGTAAAATAAAAAATCAGTTATTTTGCTATTCATTTAATGTAATAGTTTTGGTTTGGTTTCAGAATCTGGTCATATTTACTCATTCGGGAGCAACTCTGATGGACAGCTGGGCTATGAAGGTGTAACAGACCAGTACCTACCAAAACAAATTGAATCACTTAGGCCCACTAAATATAAGATACTCTCAGCAGGAGCTGATAACTCTGTTGCACTGACAGGTAATGCCAAGAGTTTTTGTTTTTATCTTTGTATTCTTGTGAAAAATTTAAGTTCCCTTGATATATCGTTTACTGGTTCAGCTTGATATTTTTAAAAATCTTGTATTACAGAGGATGGCAAGGTTTACGTATGGGGAGGCAATGAGGAAGGAAAGCTGGGTTTGGGCGAGGATATAGAGATAGCCCACCAACCAATGCTGCTGCAGCTGGATAGACCAGTTGTTTGTGTGGCATGTGGCTACTACCACACTGCTCTAGTCACTGGTCAGTCTGTCATCATTGCCAGATTTTCTTTGTATTTGTTTTACAACTCCATTTCTTTAATCTAGCTCTACCTATGTAATTTTCTATAATTTTATTGAACATTTTAAATTATTTAGCATTATTGAAATTTGTTCTGTCCCTTGAGGCAAAAATAATAATTGTAGTTATAAATTAAAACAAGGCCTTATGAAGGTGTTAAACATAATAATTCTTAATTTCAAAAGGCTGTGAGCCTAAATCTCTTATATTACCACTATTGGTACATCCACTCATAACAAATAACTAACCCTGCACTCTAAGCCTAAACTCGAGGGTTAAAATAAAATAGTACTATCATTGATACCAACTATAGCTATATTTGATCTATAAGAACCCCATTAAGAGCTTAATATACTTAAGAATTTTTTAAACTTTAGATGATGGAAAGTTGTATACCATGGGGGAAGCAGATGGGGGGAAACTTGGACTGCCAGAGGATTTAGACGACACCAAAGTGCCACAGGAGGTCACGGCCATAGCTGAGCCAGTGAAATGGGTTGCATGTGGCAGTTCACACACAGTGGCACTTACAGGTTGAGCGGTCTTTTTCAATTTTAGTTGCTGTTGCGTCTTAATCAACAATTCATTAAGTTTTAACTTGTGTATCTTAATCAACAATTTATTCAGTTTCTGTGTCTTAATCAAAGACTTATTCTAATTTAGATGGTGTATCTTAATCAACAACTCATTCTGTTTTAACTGGTGTATTCTTAATACAACTTCCATTCTTAATCAGACTCATTCAGATTTCACATTTCTTTTATGTACTCAAAGACACATTCACTATCAACAAATATTCTCTGACACCCCATGTCAGCCAAAACAGCAACTGTATAAAAACAAAAAGCTCACTGGGTAACACTAGTGATGTTTATTAGTAAAATTAAACAGAAAAATCTGACTTAAAAAAAAAATTTAAAAAGCACCATGGTGAAGAAATTTTAGCATTGTTAAAATGACCACATGGGGGAAAAAAATGATCTCTTAACTACATTTGATCACGCCATTACTGGTTTTTCCTGTGAGGCAATGAATAAAATATAACATCACATTGAAGTTATCACACCTGTTATACTTTGTTTATGTAGAGTCAGGTAAATGTTATGTGTTTGGTGAGGGTGAGAGTGGTCAGCTTGGCCTCGGGACGGACGTTATGTCTCTGTCAACACCAACCCACCTGAAGCTGCCATTTAAAGTCTCCAGAGTCTACTGTGGCCAGGCCTTCACTGCCTTGATATCAGGTTACAGCTGTTTAAGTTTAATTATGTCTTGTGAACTTGAGATTAATGTCAGGTTATTGTTGAGTATGATGAATACGTTTTTAAAAGTTGTTGGATAATTTGTGTCAGCATGCAATGCCGCTGTTAGATTACACTGCAATTGAATGTTAAGTAGTGTTTTAAAAAGCTGTTGGGTGCTGCCATAACATTAGTCTGTGTCATGACGTTGATTTATCAAGACTTGGGACTGTGTCAATGCCACCTTATTATCTTTTCTTCAGTTTAACTTAGCCGATGTTAAGTGCTGGGTTGGTTGGGGGGGGGGGGGGGGGGGTGAAGAATATTTGGCTTTAAGCCAAAATTGGAATCCAGAATAACAGATTAATAGCCTTATACAGTACACCTTAACTATGTGTAATGGTTGAGTGTGTGTCTCTTAACCTTTTTGGAGGTACCGAACTCCACCATTTTCATATGGACATTATCAAACCCTTCTTAATGGTTTTATCATCTCCCACTGGCGAAATCCACTCGTGAAACATATGAGTCAGGTGTGTGTTTTGACCCCCTGCAGAACCCCCAAGATTGATTCACCAAACCCATGGGGTTCAATTGAACTCAGGATGAGAACCACTGGTTTAGTTGTTGTCTTTTCTGTAAATGTAGCAGTGTCAATTACAATCTGTACAAGAAACAATGTGGTTTTGTTTAAAAAGCTACTCACATCATGTTAAACATTTATTAGATTAATATTATAGTATAGTTTTGGGGTCAGAAAAAAGTAATTTCCAAAGTGATTAAGAAAATGTTTTAATATATTCTTCCATATCATCATTAATTACACCATTGTTGTCTTTATCCAGAAAAAGGACAGTTGTATACATTTGGTGATGGTCGACATGGAAAGTTAGCCCATGGCAACGACCAGTTCTCCAACCAGTACAAGCCTTATCATTGTAAAAGATTTTCTCATTTCAATGTTAAAAAGGTAGTTTTATTTTCGAGTATTCATTTCAAATTAATTGTTTTTTATATATTTTGTTTAAATTATTTAACTTCATATGTATTGTAGTTTTGGTAAAAAAGAAATCCTTTTGGATTTGGCAGTCTGTTTCTTTGGCTTCTGCGTATAAAAGGATAGTGTATTCAGCTTTTTGCCCAGCTTCCTTTACTTTTCCTAACATTAATCCGGTCCCCATTAGAGCTGGATCGACTCATAGAAGTCCAAATTAATTAGGGTACATACACACACAAAAATCTCTACCCTTGTCTTGCATCAATGCTGGCTAAAATATCTTGATAGGATACGTTAGTAACTCTACCAGCAAGAACCTTTTCATTAAAATTGAAGTGTTGCTAGGGAAGTGTTTGTAAACAAAAAGTGTTGACCTTTACTTTAGGTTGCGTGTGGTGGGTGTCACATGATAGTCACAGCCCAACCAAAAGCACACAGACACAATGTGGAGAGCGATGAGGAAGTGGATGAAATGAAAACGCTAGCAGAAACGGCGCTGCTGGACTCTTTGAATATGACCACAGGCTCTCCCACCTTGTCCAGGTCTCTCTCCGCAAGAGAGAAACGCAGGAACGAAGTTACTGTAAGTATTTCAGTTGTGTGTTTTAAAAATATTCTATGTTTTAGTTTTAGATGTTAAAGGTGACTAGACACATTTGTTTTTACTTCACTACTTGGTTTGTAAATGTGTTTGGTTTAAAACTTCAACTACAATGTGTTTCTTCATTTTATTATTATCTGTTTCAACCAATTAAAAATTATACATATAACTGAATCTTAGATTCTATTCTTATCAAATAATTAAATTAACCCCAATATGTTAAAATTAACAGTAATGAGCATTAATGGACTTGTGTTAATTCTTGACTAAATGTTCCTAGAGATCCTTGTCCACACTAAACCAGACCCTACCTGTCCTGACATCCAAACGAGGCATCCACTCCCTTAGTGCCACCATGCCTGCCATTAAACCCAACCATTCAAAAGCCAATGGCGATCTACTCCATGCAACCATAGTACCAAAGAGCAGGTCGTTGCCTCGAGGTGAGCATTACTTTCAGTACTTCAATAGCGGCTTCATTTAATGTAAAGATTCCTCCTTAGACCTAGTGGTACATTGGGCAAATGAAATAGAGCTCATATGTTTTTTGACCTTGGCATATGAAGGGATAGTTTGGTCTACACTATGTCCAACCGCCTTTACTTTTCCTAATGTAAGTTAGGTACCCATCAGAGTTGGGTGGAGTCAAGGACGTTCTACTGACTTGAACCCAGAATTAAGACTTGAACCCAGAATTAAAACTCAAGACTTTGGGGTTAGCAGTCAAGCGCTCTAGTCCTAGGCCACACCATCCCACAGTGGCTTATTTAGTATAGTGGCTTGTATAAGTATTTTGCAGCAAGATAAGTGGTTGGATTTCCCACTGAGGACCAGCTAGAGAGTCATGGTGAGCACTGTAAAGAACAAAATGGCTGCATGCAACTGATGGGATTGATGGCATATTCACCGCCCTGCCACAACATCACATATGAAAATTGGACAAAATTTAGTATTTGAGACACTTGGGGAGTAGCCTTGTGCCCTGAATCCACTGAAAGCACGACACTACTTTGCAGTACATATATTTTTACCGGTATTTTGTTAGTGGCTTGTTTACAGTAGTGTCAGTTTTAATTAATCTTACTCTAATCCTGTACCGCTTTGTTTCCACAGGTAAGACACTGGATATAGACCATGTTGTGGAACCAGAGAGTGCACATCACAAGGTAATTGAAATTTTTAAACCATTTGTTGAACTCAGTTTGATTTAGTTTTGGCTAGTGAATAACTAGGACTGTAGGCTAGGACAGACTCGAATGTTTTCTTTTTTTATTTTGCTCATCTTTTCTAAAACAAATTAAATTATGCTAGAATTTTTAAAAATATTTATTTTGGATGCTCTTTTTCAAAATTAGTTACCTTTAATTCATTTTAGTTGATACTTTTTATTTTATTTTTGTTCATCTTTATGAAAACTTAAAATTCTAGAGTCTCAATCTGTTAATAAGTTGTTCTGTTGTAATTCCACCTATTCTGCTACTTGTTAATCTTAGACTCAGGAGAACCACCTTCCAGTACCCATCCCAAGGAAAACATCTCTGCCAGCGCAGGTAGAAGCCATGATGTATTTCGCTGCTTGCCCATGTTCTAAACTCTTGCAGCTTAACTGCTAGTTAACTCTGGCATATGTTGTTCTGTAATGTCTGCGTGTCTGTCTGTCTGTCTGTCAGCAGAACTGTGCTGGTATTCCAGCAACTTATGCATCTTCTACTTCCTCCATGCATGTCGAGGCTCTGTCTTTTTAAAAAAAAAATTTAACAGCAGTTTACTAATTTGTTAACAAATTATTGGTCATTACAGTTTTACTAATTAGTTAATTAATATCTTAATCACAGTACAATTACACCATCTGCCATTTAATTTATTGCTGTGATGCAAATGTTTTTAACTATGTTCTACCTTATATATTTTGAGGTCATTTTTGGTTTAAAATTATTTCAGAACAGATGTTAAATAATTTGACCACAATAGATCCTTTAATGTTTAGCAACTGGCTGCTCGGATTAATTCACTAAAACTGACATTTTCATTAAACTTTGCTCATATTAAATGTGAAAGATTTTTTTCCTTGATAATATTTCCCAGAAGTACATTTGTTTTTGAAAATTTTCCGTTTCCAGATACTCATTGTTATAAATTTTTACCATTTTATGTCGTTCTATAAATCTTCAGTAAGTCATTCTATAAACATTCAGCACATTGCCCTTGTAAACTTTCACATACTGAACCTCATTGTGACACTCACTAGTCCTAAATAAACACAATGTACACTATTACTTTTTTTTTCTGTTATTTTTAATGTTTGAACCTGCATAGAAATATAACCAACACTTAATCTCTACTCTACTATCAGTAAGTGATGACAAACAGTTATAATCATGCATGATGCTTAGATCTTCTCCCTTTCTTTATCAAAGCATTGACTTGATCATCTGTTGGTTAAAGTTTCTATTAAGAAAACTTAAAATTAACAGTGAATCCAATAAGCTAAGACGTTAAAATTGGATTTGTTTTATCGGTGCTATTGATCTATAACTTTTATATTGTTGTTAGAATATTATTTTTTATTATACTTCTACTATATACATGTATATATTTTCTACTGATATATAGAACTAACTTGTACTCAAATATATCTTTGATGCAAAAAAAGTATTAGTTAGTATCCATAATATTTAAAAACATTTACTTTGGTTGTATACATGTATTATATATACATATATATTATCAAATATATCTGTATTAAATAAATATTTTGACAAAGAATTCTAAATCATGTATCTATATAATTTTTCCTTTTTTCCCTAGTACTGTTGGATTTGCATGCCTTTTCTTCTGCATATCCTAGCATGAGATATTCTTGTAGACTAGTCTTTTAACTTCCATGGGTTTCAGGGTCAGGCGGATAATAGTGATGATGGCAGTGAGGGAGATGATGAAGGCAGCGATGAGGGGCAGCACAGTGTAGGGCATCATGGCCCAAAGCAGGTTCTAGAGGAGGCTGAGGAGAAGCTAGAGGCTGATGAAGATGTCATGGCATTGACTGCGGAGCTGCAGAGTAAAATTGATGAAGGGTCCTCTGAGGAGGAGCCGTTGGATGAAGTTGATGAGAGGAGCGCTGGCCAGGATTTGCCAGAAAGTATAACCAATTCCGTGGAGGCTGGAATTCATGTAGAGAAAGTTCAGGAAGAGATGAGTAGTAAAGATGAGATAACTCCAACAGGAAAGGAGATAAAGGAGTCGCCAGTGCTTGGTGTAAGAGAGTTCAGAGTTGTTGCTGTTGGTTTTTTTTTTTCCATGCTTTGTTTGACCCACCAATCTTTTATTTTGTGTTCCTTTCATTTCACTGCAGTTTTATTTGATATCTGTTGCAAGAATTTAACATTGGTTTCCTGTGTTTATATCCTGTGTGTATATTTCATATCTAACAAAACCACTGATGTTAATTAACATACTTGTAATATATAGTAATTTTAAAAATCTAAATGTTCCAAACAAATTAATTGATACTCACAGAGAACTTGATGTGCCTTAATTTTGCTAGTTAAATTATTACACAGTGCTATATATCTAAGTAGTTGCAATTACAATATAAATTGCTTTCACACAAAATATTGTATCTTTAATTTTAAAACTGACCAATTCCATAAATTAAATGTACTTTTCTACATTACCTGTTTTTGAAAATATAATTATTTTTGCTTGGTGTTATGCTTTCTGCTTATTTTTGCTGTTTAACCAAAATACTGCTTCTAAAAATATTTTGATTTATTTCTCTCTTAATTCTCTCAAAACTTTCCACCTTAAATAAGTGGGGAACAAGATCTCTGGTTCTTAATAATATTAAAATAGTTCATATTTAGACACTTATTATTAAGGATACATGTTCAGAGCTTTTTTTTTTTATTTACACCCACTCACTCTAGATTTTATTCTTGTGACTGTATTTACAAATGTGTTTCATGTTCTATATTTAGCCTTTAGCTGCACTCAGAATATTAAAAAAAAAACTTAAGTCAGTAACTTTAAATTTGAATTGTAAGATTACTTATTGCCTGCCCTTTTTAATCTGAATATAGTGACCACCATAGTAATCTATATTTTATTGACATTTTTAATTATATAGGCTACTCCACTCTTTTCCCCATGGTCACTATTCTCCAAAAATGAATTACACAAAATGATATCCATTGTACAATTAGCATTAACAGCTGATGTTTGTATAATAGTAGCCAAAAGTAACTTTGGATAATTGTTGGGTTGTTGCACTTCACATAGATGTCTTATTGTTATCGAAACATCATACATCTTAATTGATTTACAATTTTAAAAAATGTTTTGTAGTTTCTTAGGAACAAGCTCTTAATTAAATAATTTCTTGTTAAAATATGCATCATTTCCTGTATATTATTAGGAAAAAATATTAAACTTTACTACACCTACTTAGTTTTTTTAATGACTACCTAATTTTTGCATGCAATTGTTCTTTTTGTATCAGAAAAAAAATCCACTGCCTCTACCTAGAAAAAAGCAGGAAAAAACAGAGGATGATGAAGAGGAGGAGGACGACGAAGAAGAAACAGAAGAGGATGAAGAAGTCAACGAAGAAGAAGAAAACAGTAAAAAAAAGAGTAAGATTATCTTCTGACAATGAAATATTAATGGAGGTAACATACGGTTTTGGATGGCTTAGTAGAGTACACAAAAGCTAGCCCTCATTACTGTGTGTTGGGAAATGATAAGTCGTGATGGATTTTAAGGATACCAGCCATCAGTTGGAGAAGGTTAAAGGGCGTAGTGCTGATGGCACAATCTTTTCATTTGCAAAAGCCAATAGAAACAGGAACTACATTTTTTTAAACCATGTGATGCATGTAAACCTCTAACGGAGGTGATGCATTTCCTGCTAATTTTATCGTACCTTTTATTTTTTCCAGATAAGAAGAACAAAAAAGAAAAGGGGGAGAAAAAGAAAAAAGATGGTAAAGAGGATGAAAAAGATAAAAAGAAAAAAGATGGGGAAGAAAATGAAAAAGACAAAAAGAAAAAGGATAAAAAAGATAAAAAGAAAAAAGATGATGATGACGTTAAAGATGATAAGAAAAAAGACGGCAAAGAAGATAAGAAAATTGATGATGATGATGAAGAAGATATAAAAGATAAAAAGAAGAAAGATGGCAAAGAGGATAAAAAGAAAAAAGAGGATGAAGAAAGTGTCAAAGATAAAAAGAAAAAAGATGGCAAGGAAGATAAAAAAGAGGATGAAGATACAAAAGATAAAAAAAAAAAGGATGAGAAGGAACCTAAAGATAAGAAAAAAGACAAAAAATCAAAAAAAGGTACATCCTATTAGATATCTGCTACACCTGGTCTCTTTCATGGTATTGGGGATGGCGTGGCCTACCCGTAGAGAGCTAGACTGCTAACCTGAAAGTCTTGAGTTCAAATCTGGGTTCAAATCAGTAGAATGTTCCTGAGGCCACCCACATCTGATGGGTAAATTACTCACATTAAGGAAACAGGTGGCTGACCACATTATCCCCCTCTATGCCAAGGTAGTTAATACTGATGAACTCTACTTCATCTGCCACATGTGTCTTGGGCACAAACGGGAAAAGATGATGATGATGATTCATGGTGTCAATAAAAAAAAATACCTGGCCTCGTTCATGGTGTGAGTCAGCGAACATGACCACATTCATGGTGTGAGTCAGTGAACATAACCACATTCATGGTGTGAGTCAGTGAACATAACCACATTCATGGTGTGAGTCAGTGGTTGAGTCAGTGAACATGACCACATTCATGGTGTGAGTCAGTGGTTGAGTCAGCGAACATGACCACATTCATGGTGTGAGTCAGTGAACATAACCACATTCATGGTGTGAGTCAGTGGTTGAGTCAGTGAACATGACCACATTCATGGTGTGAGTCAGTGGTTGAGTCAGTGAACATGACCACATTCATGGTGTGAGTCAGTGAACATGACCACATTCATGGTGTGAGTCAGCGAACATGACCACATTCATGGTGTGAGTCAGTGGTTGAGTCAGTGAACATGACCACATTCATGGTGTGAGTCAGTGAACATGACCACATTCATGGTGTGAGTCAGTGAACATGACCACATTCATGGTGTGAGTCAGTGAACATGACCACATTCATTATGTGAGTCAGTGAACATGACAACATTCATTATGTGAGTCAGTGAACATAACCACATTCATAGTGTGAGTCAGTGAACATAACCACATTCATAGTGTGAGTCAGTGAACATAACCACATTCATGGTGTGAGTCAGTGAACATGACCACATTCATGGTGTGAGTCAGTGAACATGACCACATTCATGGTGTGAGTCAGTGAACATGACCACATTCATGGTGTGAGTCAGTGAACATGACCACATTCATGGTGTGAGTCAGTGAACATGACCACATTCATGGTGTGAACATAACCACATTCATGGTGTGAGTCAGTGAACATGACCACATTCATGGTGTGAACATAACCACATTCATGGTGTGAGTCAGTGAACATGACCACATTCATGGTGTGAACATAACCACATTCATGGTGTGAGTCAGTGAACATAACCACATTCATGGTGTGAGTCAGTGGTTGAGTCAGTGAACATGACCACATTCATGGTGTGAGTCAGTGGTTGAGTCAGTGAACATGACCACATTCATGGTGTGAGTCAGTGAACATGACCACATTCATGGTGTGAGTCAGCGAACATGACCACATTCATGGTGTGAGTCAGTGGTTGAGTCAGTGAACATGACCACATTCATGGTGTGAGTCAGTGAACATGACCACATTCATGGTGTGAGTCAGTGAACATGACCACATTCATGGTGTGAGTCAGTGAACATGACCACATTCATTATGTGAGTCAGTGAACATGACAACATTCATTATGTGAGTCAGTGAACATAACCACATTCATAGTGTGAGTCAGTGAACATAACCACATTCATAGTGTGAGTCAGTGAACATAACCACATTCATGGTGTGAGTCAGTGAACATGACCACATTCATGGTGTGAGTCAGTGAACATGACCACATTCATGGTGTGAGTCAGTGAACATGACCACATTCATGGTGTGAGTCAGTGAACATGACCACATTCATGGTGTGAGTCAGTGAACATGACCACATTCATGGTGTGAACATAACCACATTCATGGTGTGAGTCAGTGAACATGACCACATTCATGGTGTGAACATAACCACATTCATGGTGTGAGTCAGTGAACATGACCACATTCATGGTGTGAACATAACCACATTCATGGTGTGAGTCAGTGAACATGACCACATTCATGGTGTGAACATAACCACATTCATGGTGTGAGTCAGTGAACATGACCACATTCATGATGTGATTCAGTGAACATGACCACATTCATGGTGTGAGTCAGTGAACATGACCACATTCATGGTGTGAGTCAGTGAGCATAACTATATTCATGGTGTGAGTCAGTGAACATGACCACATTCATGGTGTGAGTCAGTGAACATGACCACAATCATGATAAATAATGTTGGATCAGGTTTTTATTTTGTGTCAATAAGGGAAAACAACTGTATACAAATTTACTGTATTTGTTTCTATTTTTCAGACAAAAAGAAGAATGGAGATGAGGATGAAGATGAAGAAGAGGAAGAAAAAGAAGATAAGGTTATTGTTCAAATTTTGTTTTAATTGATATGAAAACATTAGACCTAATTTAGCTTTTGATAACTTCCATTGAAAGGGAGGTTGAAGTGTCTGTTAACACTGTCCTCAATTTTTATTTTAATCCATTTTTTCTAAAGTTTAGTCATTTTCTTAACCCTTATTTGTCATCTGTGTGAATAAAACAATTTTCTTTAAAATAACTAGTTGGTATTTTAGCCTACAATTAAAGTCTAATGTTATCTACTATACAAGGTGTGTATTTAACCATTTCTTATATTGTATTAACTTGGTTAAAAGTGTACAAATTAATGAAGCATATTTGTGTTTATTCAATGTTTTTTTGTTTTGTTTTATTTTTAGAAAAAAGACAAAAAAGGTAAAAAGGAAAAGGAAGACAAAAAGAATAAAAAAGATAAAAACAAAAAAGGTGATAAAGATAAGAAGAAGGAGGATGATGAAGATGAAGAAGATGCTGAGGATGAAGAGAGTAATGACAAATCAAAAAAGAAGGAAAAAGATACCAAGACAGAAGACAATGAAAAGAGTAATGACAAATCAAAAAAGAAGGGAAAAGATGCTAAGATAGAAGAAGATGAAAAAAATAATTCCAAAGTTGACAAAGACAAAACTGATGAAGCCTTAACAAAGTCTGATGAAAAGGGTGACAAAGCAAATGGAAAAGATGAAAATGAAAATGAAAACACACAAGTCCCAGTCACTGCTAAAAAGGTTAGTTTGTACCAGTAAAAGTTAATTTTTCCCAACAGATAGTGTTTTTTTTTAAGAACAATTACGAGCCAGTGTGACCAGTTTTAGCTTTATTTTTTCAATAGTTAATTTATGTCTTTGTAAACCATTATTTTATCAATCATCTGTCACTTGATGTGATGAATTCTTTTTTTTTTCTCACAGCAAGGTGCCAATTTCTATACCAACATTACAATTTATCTCTAAAACACATGAACATTTTTTCTCCTATAGTTGCTAGCAGTAAAAAAATATATTTTATATTCTCTTACAGTCACGTACCTGCAGTATATTGTGATGAGAGCTTCACACTTGCGTAGAGACCAAAACACCTGAGGGTTTGTGCTTCCACCCATGTTTGGCTGGCTGTACATCAATAGACAGACACTCTGACCAGAACCTGAGACTATTCTATATTGTTGAAGTATAAACTTGTGTTTTGTTAGAAATCTCTCAATAGACAGACACCAGGACCTGAGACTATTCTCTATTGTTGATGTTGCAGTATAAACTTGTGTTTTGTTAGAAATCTCTCAATAGACAGACACTCTGACCAGAACCTGAGACTATTCTATATTGTTGCAGTATAAACTTATGTTTTGTTAGAAATCTTTCAATAGACAAGACCTGAGACATTCTTCTGTACTGTTGCTGTATGTTAGAAATATCTGTCCTTAGTTTTGTATGTGTTTTTGTTCCTATATGTTGACATCCTCAACTGGCTGTAAAAAAAACTAGTTTACTATGTCTTATGAGGGAAGATAAAATGTATATACTATACAGAAAAACATACTATATGAAAATGATTACAGATTATAAAAATTTATATTTATCTGACCAAATAGTTGTACATTTCCCAGTGAAAAATTGTTGAATGCTTTTTTGTATTTGACAGAATTTTTATACAAATAATAGAGAAATTAGTTTTGTTATAATCGTCTTTTTGTAAGTAAATTTACATGAATATTAAAATGAGGAAAAGATTGAACTGAATGATAACAAACATTTTTTTTTTCATGGCCATTGTTGGTAATTTAAAGCCAGTTTTAAATGCCATATGGTTGAATTGTAAGAGTGTTTTTTTTCTGAATGTTTTTTAATGGTATGAGTAAAAAGAAAACAATGAAAAAATTATTTTCAACAAGGAATTTTGACACTTTTAAAAAATTCCAGCAGATTATGGTAATTTATTAAATTTAATATCTTATTTAGTATCCCTAAAAGTACCATATTTCCTGCTTTTAGACTAAAGTTATAATTTACTAAACATCTTTGTACAAAAGCTTAATTATCATTACACTTGCAACTGTATTGACAAACCACTTTATGTGTAATACATTCTTCCATGCTTGTTGAAAAAAAAATTCTTTGTGTTTTGCTCTTAAATCAAGTTCAAAGCTTTAAAAAAGGTAAACCATTTATTAGTTATTTATATTACTTTTTAACTAATTTCATAACTTCATAGACAAGTGGTCTAAAATATTTACTTTTATAATATAACATGTAGTACTGCATATACACAAATCTTGGGTTGACTACAGAATTAAAGAAATGTAAATTAGATATATACTGTGAGCCATATTGTAAATATATTTGATGTTTCAAGCTTTGATAGTTGACAAAGGTATTTTTTGGCAATACATTCTACACTATGTTCAGGGAATTTGCTCATGGTAAATATTTCACTAATTAATTCTTCTCAGTTATTAATTAACTTTTAAAATGATTCTATTAAACACAGTAAGGGACACTATTGTGCATTGTAAATTTTTAAAAATTGTCTATTGCCAAAAGATATCAGTTTTTTACCGTCCATTTTACTTGCTTCGTCTGTGATATTGAAGATAATGTTTTACTATTTTTCACAACTATTTGTGTTTGTTGATAATTTTTGTCTACTTGCATTCACATCTTTTAGCTAGAATTAGAAAATACACTATGTAGTGGATCAAAGCCCAAATGCTTTTTTTCAATAAGATCCATTTTGATGAATTGGTTATTTTTATTTAGAAGAATGAAATTAAACTATTTGGTTGATGAACACAAAAAAGCTGAGTAAAATCAGTGTAGGCTAAACAAAAATAAGGCAGAGTCTTGTATTTTACAGCAAATCTGTTGTATGTTTTGTCTCATCAGTTTTTTTTTAGTGGTGCTATCGCAACATCCAGTTAATAAATGGGAAACAAACTGTTGGGCAGCATAATTTATATTACTCTGATTGTTATGTTGTTTGAATCTCTAATGTGTATGTAGAAGAGTATCCTATCTGAAGTTTGTTTGTGATATTCAATTTGTCAAAATGTAAAATGGTTGTGTGGCATCTACTTCAAGGTGCTGACATTCATCTAAGACTTGTTTAAAAGTGTTTGACTGACTGACAACAGGATAAAGCTAATACTGTGTTAACATTTCATTTTATTCACTTTTTTTAATGCTCATATAAACACAGAAACATAGTTGTAATGAATAATCATGTACGATTTAATAAATAATACTGAACAAAGAGAATTGTATCAATTTTGCTATGCTTATTGTATTTAACTGTATCTTCCTAGTTACAAAAAAAATAGGCCCACAGATGTCAAATGGCGAGGTATAGCCACAATTTACACATTGCAACTGTCTTATTATTCAATAACGAAAACACTCTGACAATCATAAAAACACCTGAAATTATTTGTCTATCCTCACTCACACTGTGTCCAACTATTAGAAAAATATAATTAACATAATATTCCTTCTAGACCTATAAGAGAACATAAGTTTGTTAAAATTTTTAGTTCAATAAAATAATTATTTTCCTTCAACTGTTGAGGCAGTGGTTTTCAAAACAATTTAGGCCTGAAATTTTATTATTCACATTTTTTTAACTATTACAGCTATGTTTTTTAATTTATTTTACAAACTTCAAAAAGAATAATAATAATTCATTTATCTCGCTATAAATATTTGCTTAGCAGTTGCATTATTTTATCAACATCAGAAATACAAAAAACAATAAGAAAGTCAATAAATAATTTTCATAAAAGTATTTATTTACAAATATTTACAGATCACAAATTCTAAGAACGAAAAAACAAGACATCCAATAAATATGTACCATACAACTATGGAAAACTAATACAATCACTCATCCTTCTATCTTCATCTTGCTCTCAAATGTTAAATGCAACCCTAAAACAGCAACAACTACGTTGCTTTCTTAGCCTTTTTCTCCTTCTCATCTTCCTCTATTATATAATTAAACAAGTCCCTAATAGTCTTAAAATCACTTCGACCTGGATTGGGTGACTTTGGAATTGTTGGCAGAAATGATCCGACTTTCTGTCTGAATTCAACAAACTGTAGGGAGATCAGGGCAAAAAGTGTGTTATCAATTCAGGTTTTTTAAATCACTTTTCCATGTCTTTTTTAACAATGAATAAAACATGTAGCAATCAAGAAAAACAAAATATTGCATAGGTGTAGAGAAATGCATGATTAATCACAATGTTAGGTTACCAATAGAGGTAAAACACTATAAAAAGCAAAGGCAGGTGGGTTTATAAGTTCAGGAAACTAATAATATCAAGGGAAATAACATAGCTGTACACAAAGCTTACAAAATTTATCATCAAAGTCTTAATACACCACCCTACTTACATCACAGAGTAACATATCCCATTACTTACATAATTTACCCCACTAATTACACCACACACACTACAAACTACACCATGCACCCCCTCCTTACATCACCCCTTACTCCTTTACATTACACCCCCACTCCTTACATCACACACCCCCTACTGCTTACACCACCCCCTACTGCTTACACCACACCCTACTGCTTACACCACACACCCTACTGCTTACACCACACCCTACTGCTTACACCACACACCCTACTGCTTACACCACACCCTACTGCTTACACCACACACCCTACTGCTTACACCACACATCCTACTGCTTACATCACCCCACCACTCCTTACATCACCCCACCACTCCTTACATCACACACACACACCCCACTCCTTACTCATACCCCACACTCCTTATATTACACACCCTACTGCTTACATCACCTTCCCACTCCTCACATCACACTCTACTCCTTACATCACACACACCCCACTCCTTACATCACACACCCTACTCCTTACATCACATTTCACACACCCCAGTACTTACATTGTGCACCCCCATGAGCTTCCAGACAGTAAAACAAAACAAGCTGAACCCAGCCACGGAGTAGAGAGAACCTCTGGCCAAAGCTCGGGTTGCCAGACTGATCCCACTCTCAGGGATCTCTCTGGTGCCATGGATCCCCTGAAACAGTGGGACAACAGAACAAATGTGTATTGTGTACTTAAGAGGGTTACATTGTGAAACAACTATTATAATGCTTAGGCTAGTTAAAAAAAAAAGAGGACCAACCTTAGCGAACATAGCAGGGTCTTGTTTCTTAGCCATGGCCAGTGTCATCCCAAACCCTCCCAATATGGACATGCCAGTCACTGACGTCAGGAAAATTCCAGCTAAACAAATAAAACAATATGGTTGTTAAACACAATCATTTTATGCTGATGGCTTAATATAGACACATTGCTAGTAGAAGCTGTAAGGGCCAAATACACAGACATCAGTGTGTCACTGTGAAGTTTGAAGAGATGCAGCTAGCATAGATGTGTGGACATGGGAACTGTTGCGCAGATCAATTATTGAAGTGATGAGAGGGAGGTTTGTAGTGTAAAAAGGGATACGCTGTGGTGTTTTTTTCTTCTCACCCACTACACTCTAGCCATATCGTTACCAAATTCACATTGCAATCGTACATTCGTCATGGGGTATTAAAACACTGAGCTAGCCCCACTCTACACTCACTGACCATGTGCATTCACATAGACCTAGCCCCACCCTACACTAGCTTAGCCCCACCCTCCACTAGCTTAGCCCCACCCTATATCGACTTAGCTCCATCCTAAACTGACCTAGCCCCACCCTCCACTAGCTTAGCCCCACCCTATATCGACTTAGCTCCATCCTAAACTGACCTAGCCCCACCCTCCACTACCTTAGCCCCACCCTATATCGACTTAGCTCCAACCTATACTGACCATGCCCCACACTACACTGACCTAGCCCCACCCTACACTGACCATATGTAGACCTACTCCCACTAACACTGACCATATGTAGACCTATTCACATACTGACCTAGCCCCACCCTACACTGACCATATGTAGACCTACTCTTACTAACACTGACCATATGTAGACCTATTCACATACTGACCTAGCCCCACCCTACACTGACCATATGTAGACCTACTCACATACTGACCTAGCCCCACCCTACACTGACCATATGTAGACCTACTCTTACTAACACTGACCATATGTAGACCTATTCACATACTGACCTAGCCCCACCCTACACTGACCATATGTAGACCTACTCACATACTGACCTAGCCCCACCCTACACTGACCATATGTAGACCTACTCCCACTAACACTGACCATATGTAGACCTATTCACATACTGACCTAGCCCCACCCTACACTGACCATGTGCATTCACATAGACCTAGCCCCACCCTACGCTAGCTTAGCCCCACCCTCCACTAGCTTAGCCCCACCCTCCACTAGCTTAGCCCCACCCTGTATCGACTTAGCTCCATCCTACACTGACCTAGCCCCATCCTCCACTAGCTTAGCCCCACCCTCCATTAGCTTAGCCCCACCCTATAGCGACTTAGCTTCACCCTATACTGACCATGCCCCACCCTACACTGACCTAGCCCCACCCTACACTGACCATATGTAGACCTACTCACATACTGACGTAGTCCCACCCTACACTGACCATATGTAGACCTACCCACATACCGACCTAGTCCCACCCTTCCCTAAACTGAGCAAATCGATCGCACACGTTGACATCAGCACACATTTTGGCAATACGGTCTCTAAAGCACAACAAAGTCGTAAAACACGGGCCAGTGAAAGATAACTCTTATCTTGTTCCCATACTGCCCCTGCTGTCTTACGTACGCCTAGGCTAACAGAAGCAATGCGGATTGACCAACACTGACCGTACGCCTGAACGGCCACACCGTGATCGCCTGGACAAACTTACCATCAGCAATACGCTAATGGTGGCCGTGGTCAGTGCACTGACGGACGAACAATTCACGAGGATCTAAAATTAGCAAATCAATAGCGGGCACGCGCGGGGCATGATGTACAATATTTTAAGCTCATTAGGGACCTGACATTTTCGACTGCCCCCCGCCCCCCCCCCAAACACGTTGTCATACATTCACATTAATGATCGTCCACCAACCCTGGACACCCCGATCACACTCTGTTCACCTCCCATCATCAGCACCGCGCCAATAAATTGTTGAATGACGTTCTCTGAACCCCGAGGAGAGAGGGGGGGGGGGAGATTTTTTCACATGGGAATTCAACAAGAATAATCCCTTGTTTTCAGCCACGCCACCCAGCAGTGCTCCTCTTTCCCTTAAACGTCCGCGCACAGCGCACAGCCAATTTGTTTTTTTGTTTATCTTTTGCATCATTTTAGGGATCTTGTCGTTCACTACATCGGATAAGTGAGTCACGTAAGTTTCGAATGCTAGTCAGTCAAGCTTTCTTGTCGGTATATTTTAACTAATAGCCAACTGTGTTCTCTTTTATTTACTTTTTATATTTTAAGACCAGATACGAATAAAGAAAAAGATTCTAATTCTAACATGTTCAGAAATTAAGAAAATGTAGATAGTTATCTAGTGTGTACCAGAAAACAAACGGTCCCAACTCCCAACACTAATATCGATTAACGTTTACACCCCCCCCCCCCCAATCACAGGCATGTTTACACTGGGTCCAACTGTATCCTAGAATATCTAGACGTGCAGTAGGCGTCTGCTGGCTGTACACAGACTGGACGAGGCGCGGGACATGTCAATAGGCGGGGTCAGTGCGGACTGCCGTGTGGGACACTACTTGTCTGGGCCACGGCACCTCTAGGACTTGTAGGGATATACAGCCTGTCTGGGCCACGGCACCTCTAGGACTTGTAGGGATATACAGCCTGTCTGGGCCACGGCACCTCTAGGACTTGTAGGGATATACAGCCTGTCTGGGCCACGGCACCTCTAGGACTTGTAGGGATATACAGCCTGTCTGGGCCACGGCACCTCTAGGACTTGTAGGGAGATACAGCCTGTCTGGGCCACGGCACCTCTAGGACTTGCAGGGAGATACAGCCTGTCTGGACCACGAGCAGGGAGATACAGCCTGTCTGGGACACGGCACCTCTAGGACTTGCAGGGAGATACAGCCTGTCTGGACCACGAGCAGGGAGATACAGCCTGTCTGGACCATTTCAGCTCTAGAGCTTGTAGGGAGATACAGCCTGTCTGGATCACAAGCAGGGAGATACAGCCTGTCTGGACCACAAGCAGGGAGATACAGCCTGTCTGGACCACGATTAGGGAGATACAGCCTGTCTGGGCCATTTCAGCTCTACTGGCAGGGTACCACTAGGACTGGCCAGGTACCATTAGACTCATATGTTACCTCCAGGATCTACTCATATTATGCTAGTGAAATATAACATTATTATGTATATACAAGTATTCCACCCAGTCTATGTGCTCAAGTGAAGGTCCAACTACAACTGATCCGTAAACGTACTTTACAAATCCGATGTGACGCCAGGTGAAGACCAGCATAGCGTGACATCATATTTGGGGGGGCCATGTGAAGATCTACCAAGAGCCATGGTGAGAAAGTCAATGCTGGACCAGCAAATTGCTGTGGCAGTAACGAGGACATCGGGCACCTTCTGTCCACATGATGCCAACAAGAAAGGTAACTATCTGTATTTGTAACTATGACTCTCTGTCTAGGGCAAGGTGTTGGGGCGATGGTTGATTCGGAAATTGTACACCTTGCTGAGTTCAGTGTCTGATCATTTTGTGAGAACCAGTCTACGAAAATGTAAGATTTGTGCAAATAGTTGTCAGCCTGTTGATTGGTGCTATGTTATTTTAGTCTAACTTGCTGGGAATGAGTTGCACTTGATTGACCCAGAATTAAACACTGAGCTATAATAAGAGCCTTCAGCTTTTTCCAAATCTACCACTGTGTTCGTGTATTTGACTGCATTTTTTTGTACTAGGAATAAGTTGATTATTGTGATTGTACTTATATAATTAAAATAAGATACACGTATGATTGATTGTTGCCTCCCTCCATAGGCAGTAGAAAAATAATGCATGTGCAATCTAGATCTAGCCATCTTCAAACCTTTTCTGTACAAAAAGTTTTAATTGTAGAGGTCTAAATTTAAGTGTACGTAGCATGATTTTAAGACTAAAAATCATGATGCAATTGCATCTTCACATACATCATCAGTTGTAGCTTATTGATGATTGTTTTTAATTTTTTGGTCAGCCTATGGCTATATAATATAGTATATATATTAGTAACATTAATATAGAGGCCTAGGCCTACTAAAATATGAAGTGCATATGGTGACATAAGATTCTACTTCTACTATACTACTCACGTACCTTTAATTTTAAAGTATTTATCCTCCAAATCTGATGAACCATTCTTATCATTTTCATCAGTGTTCATTTTTAGTGAGAAAGCTGTCAAAAACTTGTATTGTGATCAAATGCTGATGTCTCGCTTTCTTGGTGAATCTTTTATTCTTTAGGTATCAAAAGTCTTAAAGTAATTCTAGATCTAGATCTAAGACAAGTGGCACTAAGTGATTCGTCAATCACACTAATCAATCAGTGCTCACTTTCAAATAGAAAATGTCTGAAAATGAGAAATCTCCCATCTCTTTTTTTAAGATAAGGCAAATCTTTTAGGCCTACTGAAAAGTTTTAATAAAATCGCCTAAAAACTTAGCCTAGTTATTTTATTTTAATTTTTTAGGCGTACATTTTATCATATGATTTTGTACACACCAGTCAGTACCAGTACTACACACTCAGGCCTGTCACTCTCACAGTACACTGTGACTGTGCCTGCCCTGTGACCTGTGTGACACAGTCTTATTCTTAGGAATAAATAAATAATTATTAATAGGCCTACTCTAAGTCTAGATTTTTTATCCTAGTTTATTAAGTTTATGCTTCTACACTTTTAGATATAAATATCTATTTTTTTTTCTTAATCTAGATCTAGACTGTGTAGAATAGTGTAGATCCTAGATCTAAGCACTCGTGTAGATCTATTCGCTGAAATAAACAAACTCGACCTCTCAAATGACCTGGAAGCTAGCTGAATTAAGTTTCGAATAAATATAAACTATTCAACTAGAATATTTCTTTATAAAAAAAACGTTTCATATACATTAATATTTGACCTACTGTGAATATTTTAAGAATAAAATATAGTTAGCACATTGCGAAAATAAATCGCATAATGAGAAGATCGAGTTTCATGGCGCATGCGCAGTGGGGACATAATGATCAACAACAAAGTCTTGGCGACATTTCCTAGTATTAGCAACACAACGTTATAAAGTCCCATTCCTTTAGTCAACGAATTAAATTTTTCAAAATGTGGAGATTTTCTAATAATACATAATAGAGGCAGATGATTACTGTAATGTATTATTTAATTTTAGATGTAGTATTGACTCACAAACTGCGCATTTGTTTAGCTACTAATGAAAGACTATTACACAGCAGTGTCAACGACAGGCTGTCCGAAACCCGGTGACGACCAAGACTCAAGAGGTTCAGATTAAGATGGCCAAAACAGTAAGAAGATGGGAAGTATTTCCTGGTAAAAATAAGTTCTACTGTAATGGGAGGATAATGATGGCAAGACAAGCAGGAGTATTCTATCTTACGTGTGCTCTCATTATCATAACAAGTGGACTTTTTTTCGCCTTCGAGTGAGTACTTTTTGACTCAGGTTTGATCTAGTCTAGATTCTAGATCTAGATCTAGAAGATTTAGAGATCTAGATCTAGAATCTAGTTTTTTAATTTTCCTTACATATTTTAAGAGATCAATTAAGTTAAAATGCAAGTTTTTGAATTAGAAATATACTACTTTTTATAAATGTATCTAGAATTTAATCTCAATCTAGTCTAGATCTGGTTTGTTATCAATTCTAGATCTAGACCTCTAGTTCTAAAATCTAGAAATCTAGATTTCAATTACGACAATTAGGCACTAAGCCTATTTTTTAAATAAATTCTACATTTCTATATCTAAATCTGCTTCGTTTCAACTTCTTAATAAGATCTTGTCCAGAAAAGCCCAGACAAAAAAAAAAAGTTATCCCCCAACACCAAAAAAAAAAATTATTATAAAAAGGATATGGATCTTGGAATCTTGCGCATTTAGTTTTAACCCTAGAGGTGGATAAGTTTTGTTTATGGCTTGTGTTTAAATATTCAAATGTCTAAAAATCAGAAATAGGTCATGGTTGCGTGTGTCCATTAAATTGGAGTGCGCAAAATGTGGTGGGACTTAACTTTTCTCCTATGCACTTTTTGCATTAGTGGCGAGCTTACTGGACAAGATTCAAAACTTAATATATCATAAATCTAGATCTTGAATATAGTACCTGGCCCAGGCTATAGAATTTACTAGTAATAGGCCTAAGTCAGGCTAAGTATAGATTATAGATAGAGGGCAAAACTATATTAAAATAATAAACTGGGGTTTTGTTAGGCCTAATTAAGTTATGTTAATGTCTGATTATTGTTTATAGTCTCATTGCATTTTGTGTGAAGTATTTGTGTATTATGTTGATCTGTCTTATATAGAAATCTGTAAAACCTCTGCTACTACACTAGGTTAGTTTTTTAGGTTATTTATAGTAGAAGCCTGAAAAAATGGTCTAATAAATTACATTACTAATTACTTTTCACAGGTTCATATCTTATATTTTAGTGACATGGTTGTAGTTCTGTCTTTATTATGTGAAGTTATTTCAGGGTAATTGATTGTTTTATTTTATGGTATAACAAAATATCATTCTATGTCCAAATTCTGTTTGATACAACCAAATAATACTATCAGTACTTGATCTAATTGTGTAGATAATTCTCTTCTTTTCAATAATTGATAGTTTATGATAAAGTTTGGGCTTTAAATACCAGCTTTTGTTATGATGAAAGCTCAAGGCAGTTCTTGTTTGATTTTGGAGTTTTCTCTCCCTGATGGGTTGCTGTCCCATCTATTGTCTGAGTCTCGTTGAACTTGGGGTTTTCAGTTCAGCAAGTATGGGCTTAACCGTGAGCTTATTTTTACAGAAAGTGAAAGCTCATTGCTTTATTTAAAACCTATCTTTTCAATGATTTTTTTTATAAAATCAATTATGTTTATCTTCCTAATTGAGCTCACTTTTTTATTTGATTCAATAATTACTATCTTTTTCTTCCATTGTCTTCAAAACATCATTACATTATTAACAATTAAACTAAATGGCCTTTTTTATGATATTGATGCAGTAACTCACTTTTCTTTTGTGTTGATTTTTTTTCTGTTTTACTTTGACTTCAGCCAAAGTAAGTATGGAAAATAATCCTCCAATAGATGATACATTATGGAGGCTTTTCCATATGTTACACAGTGTACTTTTTACATTGCAATCTGGGAAATGTATGCCAGCTGCTAATTTATTATTCATGGATGTTAAAAATATATCTTGCACCCGCAATGGAAATGTAGACCTTAGTTTAGATATTTAAAACTTCTGTATTTAGTTTGTTTTATTGCATTAACTCCTAACTATAAACATTTAACAAGCCATTAGTTAAACTAATGTAAAAATAATAGGCAGTAATGATGGCACAATTCTGTAGACATGTAGATCTCTGTATAGAGTAGACTTCGCATTTTTTCCTTTGTGCACTGTACGTAAAAGTGTGTAGCATTTATCTCAGCAGGAGACCCTAACACAGTAAGCATCGATCAAACTAACACTCCACCCCGCATTTTTTAGGGGTTGGAGTGGGGGGGGGGGGGGCATATTTCTCCCTACGTGACTCTCTTTGACCGAGTGCCGATGAGAAAACGGGTAACTAAGATACGCCTTGTCGTTTGTCTTTGTCCTGGCAACAATCTTTACGCGATTAGCCTGTGTTGACAACCTGTGGCTTTTTTCTTTTAGTTGTGGCTTTGTTTGATCTTTTCGTGACCCGAACTACAGGCGGTAAAGGAAGCGTAGTGTCCGCTCACTGGGTGTAATTATTACGTCGTACTTGACGTTAACTTGGACAATTTGGTTTTTACATTGTTCTTCTTTTAGAAAGATATTTTTTGGCTTTCATTGTCATGTAGAATTTATATCTAATATAGCCTTGAACCACATAAAACATTCGCAAGAGAAAGTACGTCTTGCAGGAGAATGCGTACATGACGTGGTTAAAGAACGAAACCAATATAAGATCCGCTTTGTAATCTGGGGGAAAGTTTCAAATCAAAGTCCCTCTGACGTAATTGCCGTATTCCCCCACCCCTTCCCGCACGCACTGGACTGAAGTCCCGATGACATAGTTTCGGCCATATTGCCGTGCTCCCAGAGATCGATAGCCTCCTGCGTGCCGCTCATCTCTCGCTGACCCAATATAGCCGAGGCTACCTGACAGGGAGTGATGAAATCAATGGGGCCGGCGGGTGACTAATGATGGAATGAGGATATACTCACTAATGCTCATCAGCTTAATCCCACTTTTAGCAGTGGAGGGCTTTCTCAATGTTTCTCCATCTTAGCTGTCTTAGCCGTTTTTGTCGTTCAGATTATATCAGACTATTTCTAGAATCCGCGTTTTATTTTTACGGTTATTGATTCCAATATTTATTGATTTCATTCTTTTTTAGCTCGAAATTTGAGTACAATTCAACCCCAATCCCCTCCAACAACACAAAAAAGTGTTCTGATTAGAATCTTCAGCGTCCACGTCATATAAAAAAAAACACCCATGCTAAAAACGTCAGGTTAACTAACTTGTTGAACTGTGGAGTGGAGAGCGATTTCATGAATTATTTTGATAAAAATACTCGCGGAGAGACTCTCAAGTCAATTTATTCCTGACACTTTAACTACATTTAATTTGTTAGAATCTAACACTTAAAATGTTATTGACTTTCATCTTAGATTATTTCTTTGTTTGGAGTGTTCTCACCTGTAATAACAGAGCAGCATTTATTCTCTTCATAGCAAAATTTGCGGCTCCTTCGTCGCACGTTAAAGACAGTCGCCTACTGTTGGTTGCCCTGTTGTAAAACTTAAACACGCACCCATGGTGATTCGGGATGCTACGTGTGTATTTCAATCGTTTACTAAATCTGAAGCATTATATGCTTTAAGGGTCAGAGTGGAAGGGGGGGGGGAACAAGAGTAAAAAGTTGTTTTCTGCAAAAACAACGTGCAATTTAGTTATTTGCGACAACATAGGAATGTAGCAGGTTGATTCTAAAAAGTTTCTCTGTATTTGGGTTATCCTTAAATTTTTCCTTGTCTCCTTTTTTAACGTCGTTGCATGGTGTTCTTTTTCAACCAAGTCCGGGGTAAAACAGTGGCACACACAATTAACGCGACAAAAATAAAACCCTCTTTAACAAGTGTCTGTCCATGTATAAATACGAGACGCCAGAAATTATTATCGATATTATGATTTTTTAAAAATCACTTCTGTCTTTATTTTACATCTAATTCATCGTATGTGTGCGTCATTGCTATCACAAACTTTTTTTTAAATTGATCATGAGTAGATAATAAATGATAGCAGACGTTCTTTGCTGTCAAGTGGCTGGATGAGTTCTATTGTTTTATAAGTAGTCCTTCTGCGTTGTATATCCACGATTGTACTATTGAAATCTATTTTAGAACACTCGTTTCGTTCGAATAGAAGTTTCGTTTATATTTTCTGTTGTGCGCGAGGATTTACAGCCGTCTCACGTGAAAGGTTGTTTGTTTGGTGTTTTTCTTTTTTCATTCAACCCTAAGTCATTTCATTGTGTGTCCAGGTTCGGCGTTATTAACAGCTAGTATTCTTAAGTTGAGCTGTTTTAGGTGTACATGTGTGTTGTGTTGTCTTATCTTCTGGTAGTGTTCGATCTTCGTGTTCTCTGTCTGATTCATGGGGGAGGGGGTGCCTTTGTGTTCAGTTTTTAACGTATTCTACTCACGTCATTTGATATTGGTTAGTTTATGCTACATGATTATGAGTGGTTGGGGGTGGGGTCTAATGCTACTGATATTACGTGTTCTCTACCGGTTTAATGTTTTACCGCAGTATGCGGCCGGGTGGGGGGGGGGGGGTTAATGTTAGTGATATTATTTGTTCTCTAACGGCTTAACGTCTTACTGTAGTACAGGGGGGGGTCTAATGTTACTGATATTACTTGTTCTCTACCGGTTTAATGTCTTACTGTATTATGGGGGGGGTCTAATGTTACTGATATTACTTGTTCTCTACCGGTTTAATGTCTTACTGTAGTATGGGGGGTCTAATGTTACTGATATTACTTGTTCTCTACCGGTTTAATGTCTTACTGTAGTATGCGGCGGGGGGGGGGGGTCTAATGTTAGTGATATCATTTGTTCTCTATCAGGTCTATGTCATGCTGCTATACTAGGGCTAATCTCCTTTAAGCGCGTTTCCTACGGGCCTGTCTTCAGTTAAGAATAGATCTGCCATTAGGTAACCACCACTGTGTTCCCACCTAAACAAATCCAGCCTTATTTCTTCCTGGCTTGCTGTTTCATTGAACCATCGAGTAGCAGGTACGCTCTCCCAAAATAAAGCAGCTATTTTGTGTCATAAAATAACACCACCTTACCCACACACACACCCCTCTTTGAAAATAGCTTTATAATTCGTTTCTTAACCGCCATTGTTAACCGGTGTGAAATCCCACGATCTCATTACTTTAACGTTACGTGGAATACATTTACGGGTAACAAAAGAATGCATTAGATATCAAACTTTTAACACATAAGCTCTAAAGCGGTTCGTTGCTTGGCTTCTCCGTTATTTGTTACCTTTTCCTCTATTCCAACACTTTTTAAATTTGGTTCAGCAAATAGTTTTACCAAACATTAGTTAGTTCTTTATTTACCTTTTCCTCTATTCCAACACATTTTAAATTTGGTTCAGCAAATAGTTTTACCAAACATTAGTTAGTTCTTTATTTACCTTTTCCTCTATTCCAACACATTTTAAATTTGGTTCAGCAAATAGTTTTACCAAACATTAGTTAGTTCTTTATTTACCTTTTCCTCTATTCCAACACATTTTAAATTTGGTTCAACAAATAGTTTTACACAACATTAGTTAGTTCTTTATCTTTTTCTATCTTTTCCTCTATTCCAACACTTGTTAAATTTGATTCAACAAATAGTTTTACACCAAATAGTTTTACACAACATTACTTAGTTCTTTGTTTCTATCTTTTCATTGTCCTTCCGCCGCGCCCAAACACACCCTCTCAGTCCTACAGAATGTAAACCCTGTCAACTTGACTTGTTCTCAAGTGTCGACCATGGAACCATCCGTCCGCTATGGCGTAAACTTTGTGTTTTTCTCGATGAATATTTAAGCAGTTGGGTGAATGTTTTAGTAGTTTATGGTTGGTGGTCAAAGTCTGTACACCCAACTCGCTGGTTAACTGTCATTGGCTAGAACTCTACATTTGAATCTCCAACATGTCATTTGTGTGCTGTCATCCAGTCTGGTAGAATTGTGGCAAGCATGTTCTGATAGAATTTTAATTGATGTCATTTGTGTGCTGTCATCCAGTCTAGTAGAATTGTAGCAAGCATGTTCTGATAGAATTTTAATTTATGCTATTTGTGTGCTGATCCGGTCCTTTCAGACACCGGTTCAGAAATGAGCGGCTTCACCTTGAACTCAGCGAGCGTTGTTTTTGTATTTTTCTATCTCCATGCAGCTTAAGGAAGTGTTCTCTTAGTTTAGCGAGTGCTAGGCCATAATTGCTAATCACACAGGGTGCTGATTCCCGTCAAGTTTTTTTATACATGTCAATCCATATTATACATATTCGCTCGACCACTTTCTTTATTATTTTGTTCAACATAGTAAGACGGGATTAAATTATTTAGAAAGAAATCGCACGACGTACTATCACGACAGTCACTAGGCATTACTGGTCCACGATATAGAAATAAATCTTCGTCACAGCATGTGCATACACGACCAACTCACGCCTTTGCCTTTATAGACGACGTTGACACGATTCGCGACGCATGTGTCGTGACGTCAAGGGTTCGACGATATAGAAATATTACGATAACGACACGTGTTATCTCGCTCTGTCGCACTTTGTTACTATGTCGTAGTTGAACTCTCATCGGCGTTGATCGGCCGCGGCCTATGACAAAATCCTATAGCAAATCATACAAGTTGGGTGTGAATCTTGCTATCCGTCGAACCCCTGCAACCTACTCACCGCACCCAAGGGTTCGATTGAACCCAGGTTGACAACCACTGGTATGTGGTTATCAATGTTCCTTGATCAACTTTCTTTGGTCGACTAGATCAACTTTCGTAGCCCGGCTTGATCAACTTTCTTTGGTCGACTTGATCAACTTTCTTTGGTCGACTTGATCAACTTTCTTTGGTCGACTTGATCAACTTTCTTTGGTCGACTTGATCAACTTTCTTTGGTCGACTTGATCAACTTTCGTAGCCCGGCTTGATCAACTTTCATAGCCCGGTTTGATCAACTTTCCTTTTCCGGCTTGATCAAGTTTCCTTGGTCGACTTGAAGCTAGTATCCAGGTTTCCAGTTTGTTCAACCTGTCCCGTTAAATCTGTCAACTTGAAGTACCATTACAAAATTCACCTGACTAAAACTCCAGCCTTTTGTTTTCCTCTTGCTGGACCATGGAGATCGATACTTTTAAGGGGCGGCACTGATAGAAAAATTGTCCAACGTCGATAATTAGTAAATAGTTCCAGCTTGAAATAAACGGTCCATTACCATTTGTCCTGTTCTTTCATTATTCTAGAGACAACATCTGGTGATATATGTGTTGTAATTATTCCGACTAGTGCTCCGCTTCTAATATATAAAATAGTAGTCGATAACCTTTATATAATGCCTATAAGTTTTAGCTACTAGTCACCAATGTAGCTTAATTTATTCGAACCACAGCTCACCTGACAGGTTGGGGTGAGGGTGGTAACGATATACCTAGAAAGCGGTGTAGAACGGCTAAGCTGCGTGGTGTCTCGTATGGTCCCCATGAAGAGAATTATATATGTAGATGTATTTCGACTTGTACTTGAAAATGAAAAAGTATTGAGCTATTGAATTAATTTCTCATTCGATGTAGACTCGCGTGTTCCCAGTTGTGTTTTGTTTTCCCTTGATGCCTAATGTACTTGTAGCTGAATATATTGTGTTTAGCGCGAGTGTTTGTTTAATGCATGTGATTTACCGGCGTTCACAGAAACAAATTTTCTCTCGTGGAACTTGTCTCCCCATCCCTACAGCTGCCAGTGGTGTCAAATGCAATATTTCATAAACTTGCTTTTTTTTAAAAGAAAATATCTGGGCTCGCTAACTTCCCTCCTAATTAAATTTCAACTATTAGATCACGTCTGGGGATAGGAAGGAGGAAGAAGAATCGTATGGATTTATTTGCCCCTCCCCGCCCTGCAGTTCCTCTTGGGAGAGGCTTATTGATTTTAAAACATTATTTCATATTTTGTTCCTACGTAGGAAGTCGATTTCACATAACCAGTAGGCCTATATGGCAAACTGTCTAGAATATGGAAAAACTACTGAACATGCCAGTTCTACAGCCGACTTGATAAACCGATTTAGTACAATAGTTTGCCAATTTGTCTATTTTAAAAATGTAATATGGCTCATCAAATCTCAAACAGTTGCTTTCTAATACATTTCAAACATAACTTAAATGCTTTGTTTCGACATATAAAAACACTGCATTAACTCCTACCAAAAACTTTGATTACTTGCGGGCATTTTTTATTAAAACTGACTAGATGTATCATTACAGTTACATCTTATCATCTTCATGGACATCGTCATTTGTCAGCACACAAAAAAAGTCTTTAAATAAGATCACACATTCCCATCGTAAACACACCTTAAATGAGCATAATTCTAACATCAACATGTTTTCAGTAAGTTTGTTTTGATGTAAATACGGCGTCACATTTCTCAAGCCCCATCCTCGCCTACTTATACTTGAACACGTAGTCACAAATGTCTTTACATCCACTAGGCGTGTGACGTCATTTATGGAAGACTTCGAACCTGCATTTATGTGGAGCGTCGTCGTGAGATAATTATAACCGGGTGAACGGTTTTTCCCCCATTCGTATTTTTAATTAGATAACGTCGCGAAATCTATTGTCATTACATTCACTACAGGAAGCTCTTTGGAAATGTATCTTGCCGTGTTAAAAGCCGGCCTACAAACCTTTTCACTAAACTATTCGCATGTAGGTCTTTAGTAGGTTTTATCAAGCAGCGGGTGGTATTGGGGGGGGGGGGGCGCTCTAATTGAAAGTTGTCTCACGTAAAGTTACAACTATTGGCGACATTCTTTTTGTTGTTTTTTGAATGTCAAATAAACAGCAATTTGTTTATATGCTGTTCAAAATTGACACCCCCCCCCACCCTTCCGAAATGATCTATCCCGGCCTCAACAACCTTCTACTGACCTCATACAACTTATAATTTTTAGCGGTCTCTCATGTTTACACCGGGTTTGTCATCTACTGTATGTTTCTCCTATTTAGGTTAATTTTGTCATCTACTGTATATTTCTCGTATTTAAGTTAGTTTTGTCATCTACAACCTTCTACACAACTTGACAGTTGTTGTTAACTTTGCCATCCACTAACGTCTTACCACAATGGACTCCTTTCAGCTGTGTGTACCTAGCCGAGCATGTGACTCCTGCCATACCAGCCATAGGCGGCGCCCTCTTCATATTTGTCATGGCCACATTACTGAGGACAAGTTTCAGCGACCCAGGTGTTATACCCAGGGCTTCAGCAGAGGAGGCAGCAGAGATGGAGAGGCAGAATGGTAACTAGCATACATTAAGTGGTGGTGACAAACGTTGCATTGAACTACCATTAAGATAAGAATGTAATGTTAATTAATTGCACACAGCTGTTATAACGAATTACTTTGAATGTTTTTCCAGAAGTTGCCAATCCAAATTCCCCTGGGACATACAGACCCCCACCAAGGACAAAAGAGGTTGTGATAAAAGGACAAGTAATCAAATTAAAATATTGCTTCACCTGTAAAATATTCCGCCCTCCGCGGGCTTCTCATTGCAGTCTTTGTGACAACTGTGTAGGTGAGTAACACTAACAGGGTTCATGGCATTGTATCATTTAGTTTGTTCACACAACTTGTTGATTTTCTTTCTGTTTTTAAATTGTGGCTTGCAGCAATTGTTCAACACTTACACAATTAGCTCGGGACCAACTTGGGCACTCATAAATATATAGGGGTTTGGGATGGGGAAAGCATGCTCATTATATTTACTGTGTAAACTATATATTTTAGTAGTATTAGTGCTTCCTGCCCCTCCCCCCAAGAGATGATTGAAAGAAACTCAGAAAGCAAATATTTCTTAAGGATTACATTGAAGCTTTGACAAATTTCTTTTATACATGAATATTTTAAAGAAGTCATTAGTACTAATGGCATCACAAAATGTATTGTTCTAATAAGTCATTAATGTCCATGATGTGATGTACTTATATGCCTGTTATGTGAAAATTTGTTTGCTTATTTTTCCAGAGCGGTTTGACCATCACTGTCCCTGGGTGGGAAACTGTGTAGGGAGACGGAACTATCGTTATTTTTACTTATTCATCTTATCATTATCACTGTTGTGCATATACATCTTCGCCTGTGTGCTCACCAATCTTATTTTACGTAAGTACCTATACGTTTGATTTTAGACCTCTTAGATTAATTTCAAGTTTTTACTTCAAATTATTTTTTTTTTTTTTTTTTTTTCTGTTTAAAGTTCTATTCAGTGTAAGTACCTACTAGTTTTTAGAGAATGTCAAAAGGATTCCAATTTTCTTACTTACAGTACTGTTTCATTACAATATTTGATTCAACATTTTTCTTGTTTCGTTAGTTCTATCCACAGTTCTTGATTTGACTTCTCTCTGTGACAATACTGTTTGATCCACAATGTTTGCACACACAAAAGACTGTTTAGACTTTCCTATCTGTTGGATAACAAAAAATTTTTCCAAACAGTTTATTTCCTTATGTTTCTGTTGTATTGTATTATTTGAAATTGTTTTTGTTGTTAAGTTAATGCTATTCTCTGCATGACATCCAAAAATAAACCCAATAAAACCAATCAGCAGAACCCTCTTATTTATTTTAATGAACAGAAGAAAGAAAAGCCAATTAAACCTAGTGTATATCATATTTTGAGATTACATTTTTAAAAATTTTCAAACATAGAAGCAACACACATAGTAGGAAAAAAACATGCCCCTTACTTGAATCAGGCAGTCCATAAATAGCTCTTATAAGATCAGTTTGAGCCAGGCACAAAAATAATAAAAAGCCTTTTGGTTTTAGCTGGACTTTTTTTTTCTCTCAAGAACTGTGGGTGCTAAGCTGCCTCAGCCTGAAACATTTCAATCTCCTGAAAGGAAAAGATATTTTTTGTATGTAATGGATAAGCTTGTCAGCTCTGCTAGATTTTTTCTTGAACAAAGTTTACACTGCCTTTACAGTTATGGAGGCTTCTGTCTTCTATTTAAGCTCTTACAAGATGCTACTTTAAATAGGCACTTCAGAAAACTAATAGTGATGATCCTAACCAATGCCTAAACCACATATGTATCACTTTAACCATAAACCTTAGCTAAGTCACGACCCTAATATTAAACCTAACCCTAGAGGTATGTGTCCCAGGGTTGACTTCTAACCCTCAGCTAAGTCATGACCCTCATATCACACCAAACATAAAGCCTAACCCTAGAAATATCTCTGTGTCCCAAGTTTGACTCTTAGCTAAGCCGTGTCCCTCATATTAATCCAAACACAAAACCTAACCCTAGAGGTATCTCTGTGTCCCAAGTTTGACTCTTAGCTAAGCCGTGTCCCTCATATTAATCCAAACACAAAACCTAACCCTAGAAATATCTCTGTGTCCCAAGTTTGACTTAGCTAAGTCAGGTCCCTCATATTAAACCAAACACAAAACCTAACCCTAGAGGTATCTCTGTGTCCCAAGTTTGACTCTTAGCTAAGCCGTGTCCCTCATATTAATCCAAACACAAAACCTAACCCTAGAAATATCTCTGTGTCCCAAGTTTGACTTAGCTAAGTCAGGTCCCTCATATTAAACCAAACACAAAACCTAACCCTAGAGGTATCAGAGTCTTGGCCTTGGCATGTATGAGTAACAATGTTGCTACCACTCCTATACGAGACAAGAGGTTGGGTTTATATAATGTCTATTGATCCCATGAGGGCTGGTGAAATGGAACAGAGAGCATCAACAAATGACGGACCTACTTTCTCCTTGCCTGACCTATTTCTGTGGCCATTGATTTCCTCTTTGTATCAGAGCTGGGGTGCAGTCCGCTGTACATCACTTCTGTGGACAGTGGTTCTGTGGTCCCTTTCAAGTAGACACCTAATGAAATCAGTGGTTCTGTGGTCCCTTTGAAGTAGATACGTAATGAAATCAGTGGTTCTGTGGTCCCTTTGAACACGTTATGAAATCAGTGGTTCTGTGGTCCCTTTGAAGTAGGCACCTAATGAAATCAGTGGTTCTGTGGTCCCTTTGAACACGTTATGAAATCAGTGGTTCTGTGGTCCCTTTGAAGTAGGCACCTAATGAAATCAGTGGTTCTGTGGTCCCTTTGAAGTAGACACCCAATAAAATCAGTGGTTCTGTGGTCCCTTTGAACACTTTATGAATTCAGTGGTTCTGTGGTCCCTTTGAAGTAGACACGTAATGAAATAGTGGATCTGTGGTCCCTTTGAAGTAGACACGTAATAAAATCAGTGGTTCTGTGGTCCCTTTGAAGTAGACACGTAATAAAATCAGTGGTTCTGTGGTCCCTTTGAAGTAGACACGTAATGAAATCAGTGGTTCTGTGGTCCCTTTGAAGTAGACACGTAATGAAATCAGTGGTTCTGTGGTCCCTTTGAAGAAGACATCTAATGAAATCAGTGGTTCTGTGGTCCCTTTGAAGTAGACACAATAAAATCAGTGGTTCTGTGGTCCCTTTGAAAGTAGACACCTAATGAAATCAGTGGTTCTGTGGTCCCTTTGAAGTAGACACTCCTAATGAAAACATTGTACTAAACTACTTAGTCAATACACAAAGCTACCAATATCTGACCAACAAAATCCTCACTCACTGTCGCTAGTCTGCTACTCTCGACTTAATCTAGTACTCATGCTTGGTAGTGTTGAAGTCAGCCCGTTTGTTGTGATAATTAGGATACTAGACTGTAGCTTTCTATCGAGCCCGCACTACATAAACATGAATGGAAATATGGTGTCGCGTGAGGTGTTACGTAAATCAAAGTTCAATAAAATTGGTGACAATGAAAATATCACCCCTCTTTAATTTGATTCCATATTCAATGGAGACTAGCGAGTTGACGAGATTCCTTCCATAGTGTTGTTGACATGGAATAAAAACGTGCTTTTTAGATTTAGACCGTAAAAAAAATAAAAAATAAAAACTTAAGCCTAAAATTAATTTAGAAATTTTATATTTTTAGAATAAATGCTATAAAAGTTGCAAATCCAGAGAACTTGAAAATAATTTGTTGAGTTTAAGGCTACATTTCTATTTATTTTCATCAAGCCTAAGTTATAACCGGATGTTTCACTTTCGTAAGACAAATATTGATTGGCTGTACAGTAACTTAGCGATCGATAACTATTTGTTTACAAAACTTTGCAGATCAAGTTTTTAAATAACAATGCAAATTAAAAACCCCATGACCTAGTTTTCTATTTTTAGCTTACAATGTGTAAAATAAAATTATGTCGGCCTATCCAATAGCAGGATGCCATTGTTTATGTCGCCATTACACGTGAAAACCAAATTGTTTTTGCTTTTTTTTTTTAATTCTTATTTAGTTACCGAAAATATTAAAAACATCAAATACGTCCAATCTTTAGTAAAGTCCGAAAAAAACCAGACAGACAGGATTTTATAACCATGTTAATTGTAACTACGCCGTGCAAGATTTTTAAATTAATTTATGCACCTCTCAAATACCTTTGAGACTTTTCTCGCTTGTGTCCATTATCCACGTTATTTCTTTCCCCAACTAAAACTGATTATAAAATGTCTTTCTAAACCGTTGTTTAAGAAATCCAGTTCAGGTCGAAAGAAAAAATATTTTCTTGAATAGAAGTTTTTTTTTTTAAATCTTCTATCTATCTATATATATAATTCTCTTCTTCGAGCCGCTAGAAAACAAGCTGCAAACGCTCTCCCTACCTCCCCACCCCTACATGGTTTTAGTGAGCTGTGTTCACTCTAAATGTTTACAAGCAGAGCCAACGATTTTAAACGTAGAGGGGGGGGGGGGGGAGGGAAGGAAGGGGGGGGGGTTATGGTCCTTAACGAGCTACTTATAGTGTTTTAAAGAAATATTTTCAGTGTCAGCGTTGGTACTGTCGAATTCACAAATTATGAATTATTGAAAATTAGAAACAACTAAATAGCGGCGTATGTTATGCCGCGGGCCGGCTCGTATATATAATTCTCTTCTGGGAGCCGTTAGAAAACAAGCTGCAAGCGCGCGCCTTGCAGTCCCCTCTTTTCCTCTCTATCGCTACCACCGCCCCCCCCCCCCTTCACGTGGTCAGGTGAGTTGTAGTTCACGCTAAATGTTTAGTTGGTGACGGCTATTAGGGGCAGATAATTCAGTTTAAAACTATTTTAAACTTAGAGGAGGTAACTAAGAGGAGGCTGCTTTCACGGGGGGGGGGGGGGAATGGGGGTTTAGTGTGTTTTAAAGCAAATATTTTCAGTGGCAGCATTGATACAGTCGAATTCACAAATTATGAATTACTGAAATGTAGGAAAAAAAACTAAATAGCGGCGTATGATACACCGCGGGTCGGCTCGTATATATAATTCTCTTCTGGGAGACGCTAGAAAACAATCTGTAAACGCGCTCCCTACCATCCCCACCCCTAAATGGTCTTAGTGAGCTGTGGTTCACGCTGTTTACCTTCGTGGAGTCGGGTTTAGTGACGGCTATTAGGGGCAGATAATTTAGTTTGAAACGATTTTAAACGTTGGGGGGGGGGGGGGGGGGGGTTATGGTCTTTAACGAGCTACTTATAGTGTTTTAAAGAAATATTTTCAGTGTCAGCGTTGGTACTGTCGAATTCACAAATTATGAATTACTGAAAAGTAGAAGAAAACAACTAAATAGCGGCGTATGTTATGCCGCGGGCCGGCTCGTTGCTTTATATTCCTCTAACGTAGAACAAAATGTGTTTGCAGTATTTAGCATTTGGTTAGGGTTAGTACCTGTCAACTAGATTTCCTCAGTAATGTCCGAAGGAGCAGAATATGGGGGGGGGGGGGGGGGGGGAGAACGTAGTTTTTACTTTCTCGTATAGAGAAAGTCTTGTAATCGTGCAAAAAAAAAAATCGAGATATTTACAAATCTCGACGTTTTACACCTCATTGATACGGAAAAACATAATTTTGCAATCTTTTCCGTATGTCTGTGTGTCTGTCTGTGTGTAAACACGATAACTTGAGAACCGTTACAGCTAGGTTGATGAAATTTCATATATAAGTATTTTATCAAAATCGTAGATCCTGATCAACTTTTGAGCGATTTCCGATAACCGGAAGTGGTACTTTTTCTACTTTGAGTTTTTCAAAAGCCTATAACTTAAGTACTATTTC